TCTCTCTGGTCTCTCTTTCTCTCTCTCTCTCTCTCTCTCTCTGGGTTTATAGTTTACGATGAGCCACCTGCGATGAAACCTAGAGATAGAAGCAATAATACTTGGTTTTTGGCTCAAATAAAACACATTTTTAGTGACTTGTGGGGACTTGTAGTGACTTTTGGGGACTTGTGGGGACTTGTGGGGACTAATGGGGACTTGTGGGGACCTGTAGTGACTTGTGGGGACTAATGGGGACTTGTGGGGACTTGTAGTGACTTGTGGGGACTAATGGGGACTTGTGGGGACTTGTAGTGACTTGTGGTCACTCTGTGAAGCTCCTCGGGACTCGCAGGTCTCTGTTGCGGTGGAAGTTGAGGATTTTGCAAATGTGCGAAAAGAGACAGAGTGAAGCAGGATTTGGGTGAAGGCTGCTGAGGCGGTCATTACAGCTGCCACCACCGCTGCAGGCGCCATCCATCACACACACACACACACACATATATATATACACACACACAGAAATACACACATATATACACACACACACACACATAAATACACACACATATGCACACACACAGAAATACACTCACACACACTCACACAAACACACATTTGGCTCATACATTTATCTGAGTTGGTTAATATTTTAACTTGTTGATCAGGCTTTTTTGGCACAAATGGAAGCTGCTCGCTACTGTGTGTGTGTGTGTGTGTGTGTGTTACTACTGCTACTATTTTGTGTGTCAATCTAGTCCCAGTTTTAGCAATAACAAAAATGAATCTCTAATGAAAGCTGTTTAATCCTGAGCAGGGTGTGTGTCCAGTGTATGTCCAGTGTGTGTCTAGTGTGTGTCCAGTGTGTGTCCGGTGTGTGTCTGGTGTGTGTCCGGTGTGTGTCCAGTGTGTGTCCAGTGTGAGCGAGAGCAGAGACTTGTGTGGTGCTTATTACAGGCCGTCATTAGTGCCTTTGTACACACGGTCAGTCTCTCAGGGAAAAGTCATTATCCTGCTGTGCCTTTATTGCCGCTTTCGGGTTTTTTTCCCCCTCCTTTTCTTCTCTGTGGCTCCAGGGGCCGCAGCCTCCGACCATTCACCAAACACATAGCAGCGGTGTAATGATGTGGGATCAGACTTAACTGATGCTAATTCTTGTGTTTCCTGAACCTGGCCTGTAGGGGGCGCATGAGCAGAGGTGGGACAGTGTTTTGGAGTCAAAGGCTCTCCTCCTGTGCGGTGTACGGTTGTTGGAACAGTCTTAATCGGGGACACTCAATTCTAAGGAAGGACTAACAACTATTTATCAAAAGAGTCTTGATTTTGGGCATTTTTGGAAAGAAAAAGAAATGTCTGCGTTTCATTGGGGTGGCCTGCAGGGGGTGCTTATCTGGGAAAGCCTTGATCCACCTCCGCCTCATTCCAGTGATTTTCTCAAAGTGTCCTCTTTTATATGAGACACAGTTGGAACATGAACAAACTCTTGTCTTTCTCTCTATTTGTGCGGTTGCTACAAACGTTCACCGCACAAAAAGATGGCATTTTGACTTCCTCTTCTTCTACTATATCTCTGTGTATAAACCACTTCTTCTTCTACTATATCTCCGTGTATAAACCACTTCTTCTTCTACTATATCTCTGTGTATAAACCACTTCTTCTTCTACTATATCTCCGTGTATAAACCACTTCTTCTTCTACTATATCTCCGTGTATAAACCACTTCTTCTTCTACTATATCTCCGTGTATAAACCACTTCTTCTTCTACTATATCTCCGTGTATAAACCACTTCTTCTTCTACTATATCTCCGTGTATAAACCACTTCTTCTTCTACTATATCTCCGTGTATAAACCACTTCTTCTTCTACTATATCTCCGTGTATAAACCACTTCTTCTTCTACTATATCTCCGTGTATAAACCACTTCTTCTTCTACTATATCTCCGTGTATAAACCACTTCTTCTTCTACTATATCTCCGTGTATAAACCACTTCTTCTTCTACTATATCTCCGTGTATAAACCACTTCTTCTTCTACTATATCTCCGTGTATAAACCACTTCTTCTTCTACTATATCTCCGTGTATAAACCACTTCTTCTTCTACTATATCTCCGTGTATAAACCACTTCTTCTTCTACTATATCTCCGTGTATAAACCACTTCTTCTTCTACTATATCTCCGTGTATAAACCACTTCTTCTTCTACTATATCTCCGTGTATAAACCACTTCTTCTTCTACTATATCTCCGTGTATAAACCACTTCTTCTTCTACTATATCTCGTGTATAAACCCTTCTTCTTCTACTATATCTCCGTGTATAAACCTCTTCTTCTTCTACTATATCTCCGTGTATAAACCTCTTCTTCTTCTACTATATCTCCGTGTATAAACCACTTCTTCTTCTACTATATCTCCGTGTATAAACCACTTCTTCTTCTACTATATCTCCGTGTATAAACCACTCTTCTTCTTCTACTATATCTCCGTGTATAAAACCTTCTTCTTCTACTATATCTCCGTGTATAAACCTCTTCTTCTTCTACTATATCTCCGTGTATAAACCACTTCTTCTTCTACTATATCTCCGTGTATAAACCCTTCTTCTTCTACTATATCTCCGTGTATAAACCACCTTTTCTTCTTCTACTATATCTCCGTGTATAAACCTCTTCTTCTTCTACTATATCTCCGTGTATAAACCACTTCTTCTTCTACTATATCTCCGTGTATAAACCCTTCTTCTTCTACTATATCTCCGTGTATAAACCACTTCTTCTTCTACTATATCTCCGTGTATAAACCACTTCTTCTTCTACTATATCTCCGTGTATAAACCACTTCTTCTTCTCTACTATATCTCCGTGTATAAACCTCTTCTTCTTCTACTATATCTCCGTGTATAAACCTCTTCTTCTTCTACTATATCTCCGTGTATAAACCCTTCTTCTTCTACTATATCTCCGTGTATAAACCACTTCTTCTTCTACTATATCTCCGTGTATAAACCCTTCTTCTTCTTCTACTACATATCTCCGTCTATAAACCACTTCTTCTTCTACTATATCTCCGTGTATAAACCGCTTCTTCTTCTACTATATCTCCGTGTATAAACCACTTCTTCTTCTACTATATCTCCGTGTATAAACCTCTTCTTCTTCTACTATATCTCCGTGTATAAACACTTCTTCTTCTACTATATCTCCGTGTATAAACCACTTCTTCTTCTACTATATCTCCGTGTATAAACCACTTCTTCTTCTACTATATCTCCGTGTATAAACCACTTCTTCTTCTACTATATCTCCGTGTATAAACCTCTTCTTCTTCTACTATATCTCCGTGTATAAACCTCTTCTTCTTCTACTATATCTCCGTGTATAAACCTCTTCTTCTTCTACTATATCTCCGTGTATAAACCACTTCTTCTTCTACTATATCTCCGTGTATAAACCTCTTCTTCTTCTACTATATCTCCGTCTATAAACCACTTCTTCTTCTACTATATCTCCGTGTATAAACCGCTTCTTCTTCTACTATATCTCCGTGTATAAACCACTTCTTCTTCTACTATATCTCCGTGTATAAACCTCTTCTTCTTCTACTATATCTCCGTGTATAAACCACTTCTTCTTCTACTATATCTCCGTGTATAAACCACTTCTTCTTCTACTATATCTCCGTGTATAAACCTCTTCTTCTTCTACTATATCTCCATGTATAAACCTCTTCTTCTTCTACTATATCTCCGTGTATAAACCCAGACCCTAACCTTAACCATCTTACTCAGACCACCTTAACCCTAACCTTAACCATCTTACTCAGGCCCACCTTAAACCTAACCTTAACCATCTTACTCAGACCACCTTAACCCTAACCTTAACCATCTTACTCAGACCACCTTAAACCTAACCTTAACCATCTTACTCAGACCACCTTAACCCTAACCTTAACCATCTTACTCAGACCACCTTAACCCTAACCTTAACCATCTTACTCAGGCCCACCTTAACCCTAACCTTAACCATCTTACTCAGACCACCTTAAACCTAACCTTAACCATCTTACTCAGGCCACCTTAACCCTAACCTTAACCATCTTACTCAGACCACCTTAACCCTAACCTTAACCATCTTACTCAGACCACCTTAACCCTAACCTTAACCATCTTACTCAGACACACCTTAACCCTAACCTTAACCATCTTACTCAGACCACCTTAAACCTAACCTTAACCATCTTACTCAGACCACCTTAAACCTAACCTTAACCATCTTACTCAGACCACCTTAAACCTAACCTTAACCATCTTACTCAGACCACCTTAACCCTAACCTTAACCATCTTACTCAGACCACCTTAACCCTAACCTTAACCATCTTACTCAGGCCCACCTTAACCCTAACCTTAACCATCTTACTCAGACCACCTTAACCCTAACCTTAACCATCTTACTCAGGCCACCTTAACCCTAACCTTAACCATCTTACTCAGACCACCTTAACCCTAACCTTAACCATCTTACTCAGACCACCTTTGTGTTTGTTAATAATATATCAAGCAATGCTGTAGTATTTAGCTTCATAATTACTATGGACTTTGGTTCTTTTTAGTTTAAATATACAGTATTTATTATAATGTTGAATTCCCTTTAGTGAAACTCAATCATAATTCAATAGAGGTTTTCAATAAGCACACTTTTTATCGCTCAAAGTTTAAAACACTCATTTAAAATCTCACCTGGTGCATTAATCTGATAGACAGGAGGGTATCAGGATTCCGGAACTTTGGCTGGAGCCGCCGTTTCCATGGTAACACATTTCCATGGTAACACTGTTCCATGGCTAAATGACATCACACAATCTCTTTTAAAAATATCTTCTCTTAGCAGAACAAGCAATTCAATTGACTTCAATACAAGGAGAGTCTTTGGACACAGAGGTGCAACCATACAACAAAGTTTACACAGAGAACCCAGGAAGTGCTACTTAGCAATACATATCAGACTTAAATAACAATATGTCTGTGAACCAAGATAATAAGCAGTGTCCTCCCCGCAGGTTCACAATAGCTCTGCTGAAACAGAGACAGAAAGAGCGCAGAGAACAGTTAGATGCAGAGAGGAGGAATAACCTGAAGCTGGTTCAGAGTCAGGTCCGGTCCCTTTTGGATGATCTCAATCAGAGTAAAGTGAAGTCCAACTCTCTGCGAGAACTCCTGCTAGAGGAACAAAAAAAGCTAGAGGAGATAAAGGCCAAGGCTGCAGCACTGAGAGACATGCTGGGGCAAAAGAGACAGAGAGACAAGCTTCAAACCATAATGGAGACTGTCACATCTGTCCTGGAACAAAGGAGACGCGCAGTCGAAGAATTGCAGGACAAGTATGAGGCCATCTGCAATCAGATGAAAGAGGAGATGAAGGCCAAAACTGCAGCACAAAATCTCCTACTAGAAGAACAGGAGAGGATTCAGGCTTTCAAGGATCAGGTGAAAGAGGAGATAATGGGCAAAGTTGCAGCAGAGGGAGATGTGATGAAGCTGCAGAAAGAGAAAGAGAAGCTTGAAATTGAAGTGCTGTCTCTCAGAAATGCCCTGGAACAAGAGAGTCATGCAAAAGACAGCCTCAAAGCTGAAGTGTCCTCTCTAAGATCCTCTCTGGACAAAGAAAAAACAAAGATCTCTGCGCTGACTCAGGAAAAAAAAGACACTCTGCAAAAGCGAGTGTTGAAAACCAAACAGAAGATGGAGGGCCTCAAGGAAACTCATGCAAAACAGCTGTGGACAGAGAAGCAGAATGTGCAGGAAATATCCGAGGCTCTCACAACTTCAGAGAACAACAACTCTGTTCTGAGGAAAAAATATGAGGAGCTCCAGGAAGCGACGGAAGTCAAACAGGAGAAGCTGGAAAGAGAGAAAGAAGAGCTTCAAACTCAAGTGTTGTCTCTCAGAAATGCCCTGGAACAAGAGCGATCGTGCAAATGAAACGAGACAGAACAAAATGCAGAGAGGTCTGGGTCTGCATGTATACTGAGACTAGAGAGGTCTAGACCTGCATGTATACTGAGACTAGAGAGGTCTAGTCTGCATGTATACTGAGACTAGGAGGAGAGGCATGTATACTGAGACTAGAGAGGTCTAGACCTGCATGTATACTGAGACTAGAGAGGTCTAGACCTGCATGTATACTGAGACTAGAGAGGTCTGACCTGCATGTATACTGAGACTAGAGAGGTCTAGACCTGCATGTATACTGAGACTAGAGAGGTCTGAGTCTGCATGTATACTGAGACTAGAGAGGTCTAGACCTGCATGTATACTGAGACTAGAGAGGTCTAGGACCTGCATGTATACTGAGACTAGAGAGGTCTAGACCTGCATGTATACTGAGACTAGAGAGGTCTAGACCTGCATGTATACTGAGACTAGAGAGGTCTAGACCTGCATGTATACTGAGACTAGAGAGGTCTAGACCTGCATGTATACTGAGACTAGAGAGGTCTATGACCTGCATGTATACTGAGACTAGAGAGGTCTAGACCTGCATGTATACTGAGACTAGAGAGGTCTAGACCTGCATGTATACTGAGACTAGAGAGGTCTAGACCTGCATGTATACTGAGACTAGAGAGGTCTAGACCTGCATCTGACTAGATACCTGCATGTTTACTGAGACTAGAGAGGTCTAGACCTGCATGTATACTGAGACTAGAGAGGTCTGAGTCTGCATGTATACTGAGACTAGAGAGGTCTGAGTCTGCATGTATACTGAGACTAGAGAGGTCTGGGTCTGCATGTATACTGAGACTAGAGAGGTCTGGGTTCTGCATGTATACTGAGACTAGAGAGGTCTAGACCTGCATGTATACTGAGACTAGAGAGGTCTAGACCTGCATGTATACTGAGACTAGAGAGGTCTAGACCTGCATGTATACTGAGACTAGAGAGGTCTAGACCTGCATGTATACTGAGACTAGAGAGGTCTAGACCTGCATGTATACTGAGACTAGAGAGGTCTGGGTCTGCATGTATACTGAGACAAGAGAGGTCTGAGTCTGCATGTATACTGAGACTAGAGAGGTCTAGACCTGCATGTATACTGAGACTAGAGAGGTCTAGACCTGCATGTATACTGAGACTAGAGAGGTCTGGGTCTGCATGTATACTGAGACTAGAGAGGTCTAGACCTGCATGTATACTGAGACTAGAGAGGTCTAGACCTGCATGTATACTGAGACTAGAGAGGTCTAGACCTGCATGTATTACTGAGACTAAAGAGGTCTGGGTCTGCATGTATACTGAGACTAGAGAGGTCTAGACCTGCATGTATACTGAGACTAGAGAGGTCTAGACCTGCATGTATACTGAGACTAGAGAGGTCTAGACCTGCATGTATACTGAGACTAGAGAGGTCTAGACCTGCATGTATACTGAGACTAGAGAGGTCTGGGTCTGCATGTATACTGAGACTAGAGAGGTCTAGACCTGCATGTATACTGAGACTAGAGAGGTCTAGACCTGCATGTATACTGAGACTAGAGAGGTCTAGACCTGCATGTATACTGAGACTAGAGAGGTCTAGACCTGCATGTATACTGAGACTAGAGAGGTCTAGACCTGCATGTATACTGAGACTAGAGAGGTCTGGGTCTGCATGTATACTGAGACAAGAGAGGTCTGAGTCTGCATGTATACTGAGACTAGAGAGGTCTAGACCTGCATGTATACTGAGACTAGAGAGGTCTAGACCTGCATGTATACTGAGACTAGAGAGGTCTAGACCTGCATGTATACTGAGACTAAAGAGGTCTGGGTCTGCATGTATACTGAGACTAGAGAGGTCTAGACCTGCATGTATACTGAGACTAGAGAGGTCTAGACCTGCATGTATACTGAGACTAGAGAGGTCTAGACCTGCATGTATACTGAGACTAGAGAGGTCTAGACCTGCATGTATACTGAGACTAAAGAGGTCTGGGTCTGCATGTATACTGAGACTAGAGAGGTCTAGACCTGCATGTATACTGAGACTAGAGAGGTCTAGACCTGCATGTATACTGAGACTAGAGAGGTCTGAGTCCTGCATGTATACTGAGACTAGAGAGGTCTGGGTCTGCATGTATACTGAGACTAGAGAGGTCTGGGTCTGCATGTATACTGAGACTAGAGAGGTCTAGACCTGCATGTATACTGAGACTAGAGAGGTCTAGACCTGCATGTATACTGAGACTAGAGAGGTCTAGACCTGCATGTATACTGAGACTAGAGAGGTCTAGACCTGCATGTATACTGATGAGACTAGAGAGGTCTGGGTCTGCATGTATACTGAGACTAGAGAGGTCTGAGTCTGTATGTATACTGAGACTAGAGAGGTCTAGACCTGCATGTATACTGAGACTAGAGAGGTCTGGGTCTGCATGTATACTGAGACTAGAGAGGTCTAGACCTGCATGTATACTGAGACTAGAGAGGTCTAGACCTGCATGTATACTGAGACTAGAGAGGTCTAAGTCTGCATGTATACTGAGACTAGAGAGGTCTGGGTCTGCATGTATACTGAGACTAGAGAGGTCTAGACCTGCATGTATACTGAGACTAAAGAGGTCTAGACCTGCATGTATACTGAGACTAGAGAGGTCTAGACCTGCATGTATACTGAGACTAGAGAGGTCTGGGTCTGCATGTATACTGAGACTAGAGAGGTCTAGACCTGCATGTATACTGAGACTAGAGAGGTCTGAGTCTGCATGTATACTGAGACTAGAGAGGTCTAGACCTGCATGTATACTGAGACTAGAGAGGTCTAGACCTGCATGTATACTGAGACTAAGAGAGGTCTAGACCTGCATGTATACTGAGACTAGAGAGGTCTAGACCTGCATGTATACTGAGACTAGAGAGGTCTGAGTCTGCATGTATACTGAGACTAGAGAGGTCTAGACCTGCATGTATACTGAGACTAGAGAGGTCTGGGTCTGCATGTATACTGAGACTAGAGAGGTCTGAGTCTGCATGTATACTGAGACTAGAGAGGTCTAGACCTGCATGTATACTGAGACAAGAGAGGTCTAGACCTGCATGTATACTGAGACTAGAGAGGTCTAGACCTGCATGTATACTGAGACTAGAGAGGTCTGGGTCTGCATGTATACTGAGACTAGAGAGGTTTGAGTCTGCATGTATACTGAGACTAGAGAGGTCTAGACCTGCATGTATACTGAGACTAGAGAGGTCTAGACCTGCATGTATACTGAGACTAGAGAGGTCTGAGTCTGCATGTATACTGAGACTAGAGAGGTCTAGACCTGCATGTATACTGAGACTAGAGAGGTCTAGACCTGCATGTATACTGAGACTAGAGAGGTCTAGACCTGCATGTATACTGAGACTAGAGAGGTCTGAGTCTGCATGTATATTGAGACTAGAGAGGTCTAGACCTGCATGTATTACTGAGACTAGAGAGGTCTGGGTCTGCATGTATACTGAGACTAGAGAGGTCTAGACCTGCATGTATACTGAGACAAGAGAGGTCTAGACCTGCATGTATACTGAGACTAGAGAGGTCTAGACCTGCATGTATACTGAGACTAGAGAGGTCTGGGTCTGCATGTATACTGAGACTAGAGAGGTCTGAGTCTGTATGTATACTGAGACTAGAGAGGTCTAGACCTGCATGTATACTGAGACTAGAGAGGTCTAGACCTGCATGTATACTGAGACTAGAGAGGTCTAGACCTGCATGTATACTGAGACTAGAGAGGTCTGGGTCTGCATGTATACTGAGACTAGAGAGGTCTAGACCTGCATGTATACTGAGACTAGAGAGGTCTAGACCTGCATGTATACTGAGACTAGAGAGGTCTAGACCTGCATGTATACTGAGACTAGAGAGGTCTGGGTCTGCATGTATACTGAGACTAGAGAGGTCTAGACCTGCATGTATACTGAGACTAGAGAGGTCTAGACCTGCATGTATACTGAGACTAGAGAGGTCTAGACCTGCATGTATACTGAGACTAGAGAGGTCTAGACCTGCATGTATACTGAGACTAGAGAGGTCTGGGTCTGCATGTATACTGAGACTAGAGAGGTTTGAGTCTGCATGTATACTGAGACTAGAGAGGTCTAGACCTGCATGTATACTGAGACTAGAGAGGTCTAGACCTGCATGTATACTGAGACTAGAGAGGTCTGAGTCTGTATGTATACTGAGACTAGAGAGGTCTAGACCTGCATGTATACTGAGACTAGAGAGGTCTAGACCTGCATGTATACTGAGACTAGAGAGGTCTAGACCTGCATGTATACTGAGACTAGAGAGGTCTGAGTCTGCATGTATATTGAGACTAGAGAGGTCTAGACCTGCATGTATATACTGAGACTAGAGAGGTCTGGGTCTGCATGTATACTGAGACTAGAGAGGTCTAGACCTGCATGTATACTGAGACTAGAGAGGTCTAGACCTGCATGTATACTGAGACTAGAGAGGTCTAGACCTGCATGTATACTGAGACTAGAGAGGTCTGGGTCTGCATGTATACTGAGACTAGAGAGGTCTGAGTCTGTATGTATACTGAGACTAGAGAGGTCTAGACCTGCATGTATACTGAGACTAGAGAGGTCTAGACCTGCATGTATACTGAGACTAGAGAGGTCTAGACCTGCATGTATACTGAGACTAGAGAGGTCTGGGTCTGCATGTATACTGAGACTAGAGAGGTCTAGACCTGCATGTATACTGAGACTAGAGAGGTCTAGACCTGCATGTATACTGAGACTAGAGAGGTCTAGACCTGCATGTATACTGAGACTAAAGAGGTCTGGGTCTGCATGTATACTGAGACTAGAGAGGTCTAGACCTGCATGTATACTGAGACTAGAGAGGTCTAGACCTGCATGTATACTGAGACTAGAGAGGTCTAGACCTGCATGTATACTGAGACTAGAGAGGTCTAGACCTGCATGTATACTGAGACTAAAGAGGTCTGGGTCTGCATGTATACTGAGACTAGAGAGGTCTAGACCTGCATGTATACTGAGACTAGAGAGGTCTAGACCTGCATGTATACTGAGACTAGAGAGGTCTAGACCTGCATGTATACTGAGACTAGAGAGGTCTGGGTCTGCATGTATACTGAGACTAGAGAGGTCTAGACCTGCATGTATACTGAGACTAGAGAGGTCTAGACCTGCATGTATACTGAGACTAGAGAGGTCTAGACCTGCATGTATACTGAGACTAGAGAGGTCTGGGTCTGCATGTATACTGAGACTAGAGAGGTCTGACCTGTATGTATACTGAGACTAGAGAGGTCTAGACCTGCATGTATACTGAGACTAGAGAGGTCTAGACCTGCATGTATACTGAGACTAGAGAGGTCTGGGTCTGCATGTATACTGAGACTAGAGAGGTCTAGACCTGCATGTATACTGAGACTAGAGAGGTCTAGACCTGCATGTATACTGAGACTAGAGAGGTCTAACCTGCATGTATACTGAGACTAGAGAGGTCTGGGTCTGCATGTATACTGAGACTAGAGAGGTCTAGACCTGCATGTATACTGAGACTAGAGAGGTCTAGACCTGCATGTATACTGAGACTAGAGAGGTCTGGGTCTGCATGTATACTGAGACTAGAGAGGTCTAGACCTGCATGTATACTGAGACTAGAGAGGTCTAGACCTGCATGTATACTGAGACTAGAGAGGTCTAGACCTGCATGTATACTGAGACTAGAGAGGTCTAGACCTGCATGTATACTGAGACTAAAGAGGTCTAGACCTGCATGTATACTGAGACTAGAGAGGTCTAGACCTGCATGTATACTGAGACTAGAGAGGTCTGGGTCTGCATGTATACTGAGACTAGAGAGGTCTAGACCTGCATGTATACTGAGACTAGAGAGGTCTGAGTCTGCATGTATACTGAGACTAGAGAGGTCTAGACCTGCATGTATACTGAGACTAGAGAGGTCTAGACCTGCATGTATACTGAGACTAGAGAGGTCTAGACCTGCATGTATACTGAGACTAGAGAGGTCTAGACCTGCATGTATACTGAGACTAAAGAGGTCTAGACCTGCATGTATACTGAGACTAGAGAGGTCTAGACCTGCATGTATACTGAGACTAGAGAGGTCTGGTCTGCATGTATACTGAGACTAGAGAGGTCTAGACCTGCATGTATACTGAGACTAGAGAGGTCTAGACCTGCATGTATACTGAGACTAGAGAGGTCTAGACCTGCATGTATACTGAGACTAGAGAGGTCTAGACCTGCATGTATACTGAGACTAGAGAGGTCTAGACCTGCATGTATACTGAGACTAGAGAGGTCTAGACCTGCATGTATACTGAGACTAGAGAGGTCTAGACCTGCATGTATACTGAGACTAGAGAGGTCTAGACCTGCATGTATACTGAGACTAGAGAGGTCTAGACCTGCATGTATACTGAGACTAGAGAGGTCTAGACCTGCATGTATACTGAGACTAGAGAGGTCTGAGTCTGCATGTATACTGAGACTAGAGAGGTCTAGACCTGCATGTATACTGAGACTAGAGAGGTCTGAGTCTGCATGTATACTGAGACTAGAGAGGTCTGGGTCTGCATGTATACTGAGACTAGAGAGGTCTAGACCTGCATGTATACTGAGACAAGAGAGGTCTAGACCTGCATGTATACTGAGACTAGAGAGGTCTAGACCTGCATGTATACTGAGACTAGAGAGGTCTAGACCTGCATGTATACTGAGACTAGAGAGGTCTAGACCTGCATGTATACTGAGACTAGAGAGGTCTGGGTCTGCATGTATACTGAGACTAGAGAGGTCTGGGTCTGCATGTATACTGAGACTAGAGAGGTCTGAGTCTGCATGTATACTGAGACTAGAGAGGTCTAGACCTGCATGTATACTGAGACTAGAGAGGTCTAGACCTGTATGTATACTGAGACTAGAGAGGTCTAGACCTGCATGTATACTGAGACTAGAGAGGTCTAGACCTGCATGTATACTGAGACTAGAGAGGTCTGGGTCTGCATGTATACTGAGACTAGAGAGGTCTGGGTCTGCATGTATACTGAGACTAGAGAGGTCTAGACCTGCATGTATACTGAGACTAGAGAGGTCTAGACCTGCATGTATACTGAGACTAGAGAGGTCTAGACCTGCATGTATACTGAGACTAGAGAGGTCTAGACCTGCATGTATACTGAGACTAGAGAGGTCTGAGTCTGTATGTATACTGAGACTAGAGAGGTCTAGACCTGCATGTATACTGAGACAAGAGAGGTCTAGGTCTGCATGTATACTGAGACAAGAGAGGTCTGGGTCTGCATGTATACTGAGACTAAAGAGGTCTGGGTCTGCATGTATACTGGGACTGTTTGAAGCCAATTTAAGTCTGTTTTTATTGCGTGACATACACACAGCGATTGTCGAACTGCAGAACAGACCAGTGTGTATCCCTGTGAGGCCTGGCCTGGTCTGGGCCAGATGGGCACCCGTACAGAGCCCCATCAACCAGGACCAAGCTATAGCACCGAGCTGAAAACCTAGCCTGCCTTATCGATACTGACAGCCAGACAAGCGTTTATGAAAGCCTGGTGGAGAGGGAGGCGGGAGGGGAGGGGGAAAGCTTCTATCCAGGTCTATCCCCAATTGGATTATCCGACGATCCGGAGATGCGTGGAGGAGGAGGGGTGCAGGACGAGGTTTAGGCGGACTCTGACAGGTGTAGAATGGATTTGGAGAGGTTTGAGATGATTTCAAACAAGCCGGGTCCATGCAGCAGATTTTGTACTCGAGTGGAGCTACAGCGTGGAGCTACAGCCTGGAGCTACAGCGTGGAGCTACAGCGTGGAGCTATAGCGTGGAGCTACAGCGTGGAGCTACAGCCTGGAGCTACAGCCTGGAGCTACAGCGTGGAGCTACAGCGTGGAGCTACAGCCTGGAGCTACAGCGTGGAGCTACAGCCTGGAGCTACAGCGTGGAGCTACAGCCTGGAGCTACAGCCTGGAGCTACAGCGTGGAGCTACAGCCTGGAGCTACAGCGTGGAGCTACAGCGTGGAGCTACAGCCTGGAGCTACAGCCTGGAGCTACAGCCTGGAGCTACAGCGTGGAGCTACAGCGTGGAGCTACAGCGTGGAGCTATAGCGTGGAGCTACAGCGTCGTGTTTATTGTTAGCTTCAGAGGCGTTGGAGGTGAGCGGGAAAAACAATGTGTGGTTATGTGAATGCACTGGCCATAATAATAATAATAATAATAATAATAATAATAATGCATTGGTTTTATACAGCACCTTTTTGGACTCTCAAAGTCTCTTCACATCATTATCCTCTCACTCCAAACACAGTGGTGATAAACTACTGTAGCCACAGCTGCCCTGGGGCACACTGACAGAAGCGAGGCAACCAGTCTGTGCCATCAGCCCCTCCCACCACCACCAACCACTCACACACACACCAGACTCACTCTAATGTCGGGGAAGTGTCTTGCCCAAGGACACAACGACAGCAGACAGTGGGAGTTGATGGAGAAAGTCTGACTCAAAGGCCAATGCTCTACAACTGAGCCTGGCCTCAGTAACTCTTCTTTAAAGTACATAAAGGAGTTTGAGCAGGCGTTATGGACCTCTGTCAAAGACCACAGATTGACCTGTGACAGCCACCGTAGTGTCAGAGAATACTGTATATGACCTCAAGACAGGAGTAAAACTACACAGTGTCCTTTAAAACAGAAACAGTCAAGTCACCTGCAGTATACTCTGTGTGGTTTAGACCGATTAATGTGTCCTTAATTCACCTCTCCACACACACTTTATCCAGCTCATCTGGGGGAATCGTATGTCCCTGAGCCTCCTCTCTGAGGCTCCTCCCTGAGCCTCCTCCCTGAGCCTCCTTCCTGAGCCTCCTCCCTGAGCCTCCTCTCTGAGGCTCCTCCCTGAGCCTCCTCTCTGAGCCTCCTCTCTGAGCCTCCTCTCTGAGCCTCCTCTCTGAGCCTCCTCTCTGAGCCTCCTCTCTGAGCCTCCTCTCTGAGCCTCCTCTCTGAGCCTCCTCTCTGAGCCTCCTCCCTGAGCCTCCTCCCTGAGCCTCCTCTCTGACCCTCCTCCCTCAGCCTCCTCCCTGAGCCTCCTTCCTGAGCCTCCTCCCTGAGCCTCCTCCCTGAGCCTCCCTCTGAACCTCCTGAGCCTCCTTCCTGAGCCTCCTCCCTCCCCTGAGCCTCCTCTCTGAGCCTCCTCCCTCCTCCTCTCTGAGCCTCCTCCCTGAGCCTCCTCCCTGAGCCTCCTCTCTGAGCCTCCTCTCTGAGCCTCCTCTCTGAGGCTCCTCCCTGAGCCTCCTCTCTGACCCTCCTCCCTGAGCCTCCTCCCTGAGCCTCCTCCCTGAGCCTCCTCCCTGAGCCTCCTCCCTGAGCCTCCTCCCTGACCCTCCTCCTGATCCTCCTCCTGAGCCTCCTCCTGAGCCTCCTCCCTGAGCCTCCTCCCTGAGCCTCCTCCCTGAGCCTCCTCCCTGAGCCTCCTTCCTGAGCCTCCTCCCTGAGCCTCCTCCCTGAGCCTCCTCTCTGAGCCTCCCTCCTGAGCCTCCTCCCTGAGCCTCCTCCCTGAGCCTCCTCCCGGTGTTCCTTAGCTCCACATTAGCTCCGTCCATAATAATATTAGGACCTTTAAGGAAAAACCAGCACAAACACTTCTCCATATCCCTTCTGTCCAAATGACCTGTTTTCAAACTGCTAAGACGTCCTCAGAGAAACATTCTGCTTCTATCACTGACATGTATTTTGGAGGCTGCCACATGTTTGGATCAGAACAGTGAGAGAGAGAGGACCGCGCTCACAGTGACTCAGATGCAACATGGATCTAACAGGATGGATGTGGTGTTCAAACAAGACTCTCTTTTCTTATGTTTTAAAACGTTAGCTAGCTTACCAGCGCTATCATTTCAATATCCGTATCTAATCCCCGCTTCTACCTGCCGTAAATCTGTCAGTTAGCACCACGGCCCGTTGGTCCCGCAGGTTCTTCAGCTCAACAAGAGACAACACCAATGTTCTACCTGCTTTTGCATGTAGTTTATTTTCTATTTTTTTATTATTATTATTTTTTACACTTGTCCCTGATGACATTTTCAATAACTCATTTTGCTTATGAACAATATGTTTAAGATTTTGATATCTGTGCTAAATTTACGTTGGAGCTAAAACCGGAGCCTTTACTTTACTTTACCCTTGTAACGACTGAAGTAATTAGGGGTGGGATTAAATAAGTGTCCACTTATTGTTATGTTAGTATCACTCACTCTTTTTGTTATTACTCCTTTGTTATATTTTGTACATGTACCTAAGTTGCTTGAACTAATTATTTCTATGCCCGCTTACTTGCTCGGAATGAATAAATTAAAAAAAAAACTAAAAAATTAGAATAGTAATATAAATGACACACACAAACCTGATTTTAGATGTTATATTGAGGAGTTTGCGAACAGGTCTCACTTCACGTTGAAGATAAGAGTGGCCCCGGGGACGTCTCTCTGCTCTCCTGGTCTCTCTCTGGTCTCTCTCTGGTCTCTCTCTGGTCTCTCTCTAGTCTCTCTCTAGTCTCTCTCTAGTCTCTCTCTAGTCTCTCTCTAGTCTCTCTCTAGTCTCTCTCTGGTCTCTCTCTGGTCTCTCTCTGGTCTCTCTCTGGTCTCTCTCTGGTCTCTCTCTGGTCTCTCTCTGGTCTCTCTCTGGTCTCTCTCTGGTCTCTCTCTGGTCTCTCTCTGGTCTCTCTCTGGTCTCTCTCTCAGTCTCTCTCTCAGTCTCTCTCTCAGTCTCTCTCTGGTCTCTCTCTGGTCTCTCTCTGGTCTCTCTCTGGTCTCTCTCTGGTCTCTCTCTGGTCTCTCTCTGGTCTCTCTCTGGTCTCTCTCTGGTCTCTCTCTGGTCTCTCTCTCAGTCTCTCTCTGGTCTCTCTCTGGTCTCTCTCTGGTCTCTCTCTGGTCTCTCTCTGGTCTCTCTCTGGTCTCTCTCTCAGTCTCTCTCTCAGTCTCTCTCTGGTCTCTCTCTGGTCTCTCTCTGGTCTCTCTCTGGTCTCTCTCTGGTCTCTCTCTGGTCTCTCTCTCAGTCTCTCTCTGGTCTCTCTCTGGTCTCTCTCTGGTCTCTCTCTGGTCTCTCTCTGGTCTCTCTCTGGTCTCTCTCTGGTCTCTCTCTGGTCTCTCTCTGGTCTCTCTCTGGTCTCTCTCTCAGTCTCTCTCTGGTCTCTCTCTGGTCTCTCTCTGGTCTCTCTCTGGTCTCTCTCTGGTCTCTCTCTGGTCTCTCTCTCAGTCTCTCTCTCAGTCTCTCTCTGGTCTCTCTCTGGTCTCTCTCTGGTCTCTCTCTGGTCTCTCTCTGGTCTCTCTCTGGTCTCTCTCTCTCTCTCAGTCTCTCTCTGGTCTCTCTCTGGTCTCTCTCTGGTCTCTCTCTGGTCTCTCTCTGGTCTCTCTCTGGTCTCTCTCTGGTCTCTCTCTGGTCTCTCTCTGGTCTCTCTCTAGTCTCTCTCTAGTCTCTCTCTAGTCTCTCTCTAGTCTCTCTCTAGTCTCTCTCTGGTCTCTCTCTGGTCTCTCTCTGGTCTCTCTCTGGTCTCTCTCTGGTCTCTCTCTGGTCTCTCTCTGGTCTCTCTCTGGTCTCTCTCTCAGTCTCTCTCTCAGTCTCTCTCTGGTCTCTCTCTGGTCTCTCTCTGGTCTCTCTCTGGTCTCTCTCTGGTCTCTCTCTGGTCTCTCTCTCAGTCTCTCTCTCAGTCTCTCTCTGGTCTCTCTCTGGTCTCTCTCTGGTCTCTCTCTGGTCTCTCTCTGGTCTCTCTCTGGTCTCTCTCTGGTCTCTCTCTCAGTCTCTCTCTAGTCTCTCTCTAGTCTCTCTCTAGTCTCTCTCTAGTCTCTCTCTAGTCTCTCTCTGGTCTCTCTCTGGTCTCTCTCTGGTCTCTCTCTGGTCTCTCTCTGGTCTCTCTCTGGTCTCTCTCTGGTCTCTCTCTGGTCTCTCTCTGGTCTCTCTCTGGTCTCTCTCTCAGTCTCTCTCTCAGTCTCTCTCTCCGTCTCTCTCTGGTCTCTCTCTGGTCTCTCTCTGGTCTCTCTCTGGTCTCTCTCTGGTCTCTCTCTGGTCTCTCTCTGGTCTCTCTCTGGTCTCTCTCTGGTCTCTCTCTGGTCTCTCTCTGGTCTCTCTCTGGTAATTCATACTATTCAGAAATAATAACCATGGCCTAAGTGCCTTTTAGACCTAAACATTCTGGAGTTTTCTAAGTAGTTATTAACTCTGTGACTGCCGTTGACGTATGTTTCTGAGGCCGGTGATTTCTGTCAAACTTCCCTGTATTCGACTGCGGATTAGAGGAGAACAAAAGCAGCTGGAAACAAACGTATTTTTATTATTCTATTCAGACTTTTCCTTCTTCTCAAACAATATATTTCCTTTTTACCAATTAAAAACAATACATATTGATAAACTATTTCAAAATAGTTTAAAAGAGTTATCACCATTCTTCAAGGATGCATTGAAAGCTTGGTTGAATTTCCAGTATCATCCTCCAGATACAGCTCAAGATATTCAGACACAGTTGCTATGGATGAATTCAAACATTACTGTTGGAGACAAACCATTGTTGTGGGAGGAATGTGTTAAAAATGGGTTAATTTTTGTCAATGACCTTTTAGATTTATCTGGAGATTTGATTTCTTATGAAAATTTGAAAAGATCTTTTAACATTTCTCTCGATGAGCTACAATACAACCAGCTGATTTCTGCAATTCCTAAAACTTGGAAAAGAAAATTACAAAATTGTAGGAAGAATAAGTTGATGGTTTGTCTCGTTATTTTATCTTGTAAATAAAAAGAAGAAGAAGAAAAAAACAACAACAAAAAACGTATTTTTGCTGATGAAAGTAGACAGTCTGTCATGGGGGGAGGTGAATGAAGGACTCAAAATGCAGGAAATGCCTAAATAAAAATAATTTAATGATGAAAAAACAAAAGGGTAGATGAAAACAAACTCAAAAATCCAAAACCACAGGGAACCAGGAACGGAACCAAACAGAACAGAACGGACAAGGACATGAACAAGACAATGGACCAGCAACATGGGGAGAGGAGCACATGGTACATATAGACACAGACACAGGTGAAACACATCAGGGCGGGGCAGACAATCAAGACAGGAAGTACAACTAAAACCAAAACCACAGAACAATGTCAAAATAAAACTAAAATACAAAAATAAAACCCACACCATGACACAGTCCAGTCTTTCAGAATCTGGTTTCATATTTCACACAGTCATAACACACATTATTCTGTGAGTCATGAAAGTCAGTGCAATCACCAATAACGGCTAACGGTGGCACGGTGGCTGAGTGGTTAGCACTCTCGACTCTCAGCAAGAAGGTCCTGGGTTCGAATCCCGGTTGGACCAGGGCCTTTCTGAGTGGAGTTTGCATGTTCTCCCCGTGTCTGCGTAGGTTTCCTCCGGGTGCTCCGGTTTCCCCTACCACTAAAAATATGTACAATAAGTCTGGCATGTGCCTCCTGTACTGGCCCCGCTCCCAAAAATACCAATTGTAAACTGCTTTGAGACTTCGATGTGCAGTGAAAAGGCGGTATATAAATAAAGATTACTACTTACTTACTTACTACTAACAGGCAATGTGTTAATGCAGCAACAGAAGCCAAACTAAACTGATTTAGTTTAACAGGTGCAGGAGGCTTCTGTTATTCCAACATACCACCAGGTAAGTGTGATTTATTGATTCAGACCCGCTCTCGTTCCGTAACACATGCCAATAGTGAATATTTAATGGGCAAAAACAGATAAGTGTGTTTTAAAGGCTCACAATTTGCCCTTTACCGAGTAAGTTTGTGTAACTCTCAGTCGTACGAGATTATCCAAAACAAAGAAAGGTTTCTCACCGTCAGCTGTACTTCAGTTTGCAGGTTTGACCAATGTTACGTTCTTAATCTAAAGATATTTACCAAGTAGTTTTTGTGAAAAGCCGGTTTAGTTTAGTTCCGCCTTCTTTAGAATCAGACTAATTGTTTTGCCATTTGCGGGAGAAAACCCATCTACCTTGAGCAAATAGTTTCAAAGGTGCTTCCAATAACAGAAAACGACACGTGTTTCCATACATCCAAATGATTTTTCCTAAACCCTGAAATGGTAAAAGTAAATCAAACACACACAGATCATGGAAACAGTATTTTTTCTTCTTTGATAAATATTTGAAATCTCGGATCATGTTTCCCGACAAACCAGATTTGTGGCTTTCGAGTGAACAGCCGTACGCTCTCTCCAACCGACTGGACCGATCACATTTGACAGACTCACAAAAGCAGAGAGGAAACCCTTCATGGCTCCATCCCCTCTTGAATTAATCCCTGATGCAGAGACGAGATACTGCAGAAGGAGGAGGGGGTTAGCTGCTAGCGTGGAGAGTGAGAATGTACATATCCGTGGCTCGGGATCCCCCCCGGGCGCCAGGCTCACAACTTTGCCCGTCTATTTTTATTTGTTCGTGCGCCTTCGACTTAAAGCGGGACAGGCAAAGAGACGCGCCGCCGGGAGAGGCACCGGGCCGATGTGGCGCGACCCCAACACGCAACCGGAATGCTAATGTGCTAGCATGAAAGATACGAGGGGAACAAAGTGCACGGCAGAGAGCGCAGAGGCAAACATACATGAATACACACACTTATATAACACACACACACACACACACACTTATATAACACACACACACACACACACACACTTATATAACACACACACATATATACAGTATATCACACACAAACACATATATATACATATTTCACACACACACACATATATACATGTATTTCACACACACACACTTATATAACACACACACACACACACTTATATAACACACACACACACACACACACACACACACACTATATAACACACACACACACACTTATATAACACACACACATATTACACACACTTACTGTATATCACACACACACACACTTATATAACACACACACACACACACACACACACACTATATAACACACACACACACACACACTTATATAACACACACACATATTACACACACTTACTGTATATCACACACACACACATATATATACATATTTCACACACACATATATATATTTCACACACACACACACACACACACACACAGTAAGAGCAGGTTTAGTCGAGTGGCACAGACCGGTGTCACCAAATACAAGTAGATGCGTTGAGACGTGTCACGGGGCGATGGCGAGATTGTGAAAAGGATAAATAATTCAGGAGCCGGCGTGTGACACAATCCAAACAATATTAGCCCGTGGATTCATGGGATATGTTCGCCGTCTCCGAGTAAAGCCACCGACTCCAGGGACACGCAGAACAAACAACCAGAGATAGAGTTCAAATAGGGATTGCCACAGTCGTGAGAGCGTCTGATGGACCGGAGCGGCGTGCGGACGGCTAATGCTAGCATACGCCATTTTACCCACCGACCCCGGATGGACTGCTTCCTCTGCGTCTACCGCTGTTCTCCTAAGACTTCAATTCAATTCAATGTATTTTTATGTGCAGCTCTAAATCACTACAGTGGTTTTCTCAGAGGACTTTACAATTCGCCAACACAGAAAAGAGAATCAAACTGGTCAAACACGAGAAACGCAATGATAGAAAACACATAGACATCGTCCATAAGTAAGTAAGTAATGTTTATTTATATAGCGCATTTTAGAGCCCAAGGTACAGACCCAAAGGTACAGACCCAAAGCACTTTCCAATGTTCAGAGTCAGATATGGTTCCAGTCCTTCCACACACGGTGATGACAGAAGCGAGCCCAGAACACACTGGACCATCAAAGCCTCTGACCCAACACCATCATTCACTCTCTCATTTACATTCAGACCTATTGTGCATGTTTTTAGACAGACACGGGGAGAACATGCAAACTCCACTCAGAAAGGCCCTGTTCCGACCGGGATTCGAACCCAGGACCTTCTTGCTGAGAAGCGAGAGTGCAGAGACCAGAGTCCATACTGGTCTGTGTTGTGACAGCTGGTTCCGTGCATCAGCCCCAATTCAATAGAGTATTATAAGAACCAAACAATTAATGATAGAGCCCTAAAAGCAGAAGGACGACGGCTTTGACAGAGAAACAGGACTGGACACAGAGTGGACACAGAGCGGACACAGAGCGGACACAGAGCGGACACAGAGCGGACACAGAGCGGACACAGACTGGACACAGAGTGGACACAGAGTGGACACAGAGTGGACACAGAGTGGACACAGAGCGGACACAGACTGGACACAGAGCGGACACAGAGTGGACACAGAGTGGACACAGAGCGGACACAGACTGGACACAGAGCGGACACAGAGCGAACACAGAGCGGACACAGAGTGGACACAGAGTGGACACAGACTGGACACAGAGCGTACACAGAGCGTACACAGAGCGGACACAGAGTGGACACAGAGTGGACACAGAGTGGACACAGAGCGGACACAGAGCGGACACAGAGCGGACACAGAGTTGACACAGAGTGGACACAGAGTGGACACAGAGCGGACACAGAGCGGACACAGAGTGGACACAGAGCGAACACAGAGCGGACACAGAGCGGACACAGAGTTGACACAGAGTGGACACAGAGTGGACACAGAGCGGACACAGAGCGGACACAGAGTGGACACAGAGTGTACACAGAGTGGACACAGACTGGACACAGAGCGGACACAGAGCGGACACAGAGCGGACACAGAGTGGACAAAGACTGGACACAGAGCGGACACAGACTGGACACAGAGCGGACACAGAGCGAACACAGAGCGGACACAGAGTGGACACAGACTGGACACAGAGTGGACACAGAGTGGACACAGAGCGGACACAGAGCGGACACAGAGTTGACACAGAGTGGACACAGAGTGGACACAGAGCGGACACAGAGCGGACACAGAGCGGACACAGAGCGGACACAGAGTTGACACAGAGTGGACACAGAGCGAACACAGAGCGGACACAGAGCGGACACAGAGTTGACACAGAGTGGACACAGAGCGGACACAGAGCGGACACAGAGCGGACACAGAGCGGACACAGAGTTGACACAGAGTGGACACAGAGCGAACACAGAGCGGACACAGAGTGGACACAGAGCGGACACAGAGCGGACACAGAGCGGACACAGAGCGGACACAGAGTGGACACAGAGTGGACACAGAGCGAACACAGAGCGGACACAGAGCGGACACAGAGTTGACACAGAGTGGACACAGAGTGGACACAGAGCGGACACAGAGCGGACACAGAGTGGACACAGAGCGTACACAGAGTGGACACAGACTGGACACAGAGCGGACACAGAGCGGACACAGAGCGGACACAGAGTGGACACAGACTGGACACAGAGCGGACACAGACTGGACACAGAGCGGACACAGAGCGAACACAGAGCGGACACAGAGTGGACACAGAGCGGACACAGAGCGAACACAGAGCGAACACAGAGCGGACACAGAGCGGACACAGAGCGGACACAGAGTGGACACAGACTGGACACAGACTGGACACAGAGCGTACACAGAGCGGACACAGACTGGACACAGACTGGACACAGAGCGGACACAGAGCGAACACAGAGCGAACACAGAGCGGACACAGAGCGGACACAGAGTGGACACAGAGCGGACACAGACTGGACACAGAGCGTACACAGAGCGGACACAGAGCGGACACAGAGTGGACACAGAGCGGACACAGAGTGGACACAGACTGGACACAGAGCGGACACAGAGTGGACACAGACTGGACACAGAGTGGACACAGACTGGACACAGAGTGGACACAGAGCGGACACAGAGCGGACACAGAGTGGACACAGAGCGGACACTATGGTCTCTCTCTGGTCTCTTTCTGGTCTCTCGCCGGTCTCTCTCTGGTCTCTCTCTCATACCTCTCTTTCTGGTCTCTCTCGGTCTCTCTCGGTCTCTCTCTGGTCTCTTTCTGGTCTCTCGCCGGTCTCTCTCTGGTCTCTCTCTCATACCTCTCTTTCTGGTCTCTCGCCGGTCTCTCTCGGTCTCTCTCTGGTCTCTTTCTGGTCTCTCGCCGGTCTCTCTCGGTCTCTCTCGGTCTCTCTCTGGTCTCTTTCTGGTCTCTCGCCGGTCTCTCTCGGTCTCTCTCGGTCTCTCTCTGGTCTCTTTCTGGTCTCTCGCCGGTCTCTCTCTGGTCTCTCTCTCATACCTCTCTTTCTGGTCTCTCGCCGGTCTCTCGCCGGTCTCTCTCGGTCTCTCTCGGTCTCTCTCTGGTCTCTCTCTGGTCTCTCTCTCATACCTCTCTTTCTGGTCTCTCTCTGGTCTTTTGCTGATCTCTCTCTTATTTTCTCCCCAAATTGATCCATAGATAGATAGATAATTTGCAGACTCAAGGTCCAGATCAACACAGACAAGAAAAATAAATAATAATAATAATAATAATAATAATAAACAAACAAAAACCATAAACGACAGCGGTTTAGAAATCTCCATCTCGTGTCTTTAGTAGAATACGTTTTTCTTCTACACGAGACAAACAAAGGAACGATTCTGACAAATGTGGGAGACTGTAACTGATTCAATAATCCTTGTTTTTGTTTCACAACGACTCCAAACCAGGATCATCTTTCTTGGAATCCCCTCCTCACATCGGACCCGTCTGAGGACCAGGAAAGGAAAGACTAAGAGCCGCTCCCTGCCGGAGTACAGTATGTTGTGTTGTGGGTTGTTCACTCACTTTCGGCAATTAGCATTAGCCGCTCCTCATTAGCCCCGGTCCCGAGTGTGCGAGGCTAGTTTCACTTCAGGTGATTCATACTGCATGCTAATACACTCACTGCAGACGCATGCTAATACACTCACTGCAGACGCATGCTAATACACTCACTGCAGACGCATGCTAATACACTCACTGCAGACGCATGCTAATACACTCACTGCAGACGCATGCTAATACACTCACTGCAGACGCATGCTAATACACTCACTGCAGACGCATGCTAATACACTCACTGCAGACGCATGCTAATACACTCACTGCAGACGCATGCTAATACACTCACTGCAGACGCATGCTAATACACCACTGCAGACACTGCAATATCAGACGCATGCTAATACACTCACTGCAGACGCATGCTAATACACTCACTGCAGACGCATGCTAATACACTCACTGCAGACGCATGCTAATACACTCACTGCAGACGCATGCTAATACACTCACTGCAGACGCATGCTAATACACTCACTGCAGACGCATGCTAATACACTCACTGCAGACGCATGCTAATACACTCACTGCAGACTGCATGCTAATACACTCACTGCAGACGCATGCTAATACACTCACTGCAGACGCATGCTAATACACTCACTGCAGACGCATGCTAATACACTCACTGCAGACGCATGCTAATACACTCACTGCAGACGCATGCTAATACACACTCACTCACTGCAGACGCATGCTAATACACTCACTGCAGACGCATGCTAATACACTCACTGCAGACGCATGCTAATACACTCACTGCAGACGCATGCTAATACACTCACTGCAGACGCATGCTAATACACTCACTGCAGACGCATGCTAATACACTCACTGCAGACGCATGCTAATACACTCACTGCAGACGCATGCTAATACACTCACTGCAGACGGGAGGAGGGGACATAAACTCTGGGGCTCGCTATAAACCGTGCATCCTCCGTGCACCACGATTAAACAGGATCACTGTATAGATAATATATAGATAAGATATAGATAGATAAGATATAGATACTGTAGATCCATCCATCCATTTTCTTCCCCTTAATCCATTTCTGGGTCGGGGGGGGGGGGTGGCAATCAGAGCTGTACCCAGTAAAAGGTAGGCAGCAAAACTGAAAAATGAAATGGATTGTTCGAAAAAGATAAATAGTAATAATCAGCAACAGTCTCAGGTCACAGCAGCAGAGGTGGAGTAGCCTCTGGGTGGAGCAGGACGGGTCACAGCAGCAGAGGTGGAGTAGCCTCTGGGTGGAGCAGGACGGGTCAAAAGGTGGAGTAGCCTCTGGGTGGAGCAGGACGGGTCAAAAGGTGGAGTAGCCTCTGGGTGGAGCAGGACGGGTCAAAAGGTGGAGCAGCCTCTGGGTGGAGCAGGACGGGTCAAAAGGTGGAGTAGCCGCTTGATTCAAACCATTGTCTCTGCTCTGGTCCAAAGTAAAATGCTAAATGCTTCATTAGCATTTTTCAAAAAGTTAGCATTCCTCCAGTGGATTTTCACCTGATCCACTTGGTTCGGACCATGAATCCTCTCTGCTCTGGTCTGGACCAGTGTAAAACCATGAATCCTCTCTGCTCTGGTCTGGACCAGTGTAAAACCATGAACCCTCTCTGCTCTGGTCTGGACCAGTGTAAACCATGAATCCTCTCTGCTCTGGTCTGGACCAGTGTAAACCATGAATCCTCTCTGCTCTGGTCTGGACCAGTGTAAAACCATGAATCCTCTCTGCTCTGGTCTGGACCAGTGTAAAACCATGAATCCTCTCTGCTCTGGTCTGGACCAGTGTAAAACCATGAATCCTCTCTGCTCTGGTCTGGACCAGTGTAAAACCATGAACACTGAACTGCAGCAACAACTCAGGCAGAAAAAAGTCAGAAAAATAAATGTATAAAACACAAAACAACATCTGTTTCAGACACACTCAGGACCCGCTGCTGTTTTCCAGCGCGTTCAAAAGTAAACTGAGAAAAAAAAAAACATTTAACCAACTTGTTCTGGTTCTGGAGACCTGTTGGGGCCCTGTCCATCTGCACGTCCTGCTCACGCCGTTAAAACCTCGGTGAAAACCCCAGAACCAAGATGGCGGCAGAGCGACCGTGGCGTCTATAGCGGGAGGCGGCGCGGTCTTTGTAGCATCAACGTATAGAGGTGTATTCTTAGCACTTTTAGCCCCATTGTGTCAAGACGTTACTTGTTTCTGGAGCATTCAAACAATTAGCCGCAGTCTGCTCTTTCCCTGACGCTAATTTGGGGCCCGGCTGCGGTAGTGCTTCACACGCGCCTCACCGCCAGAGGGTCCCGGCTTTCATTACAGAGAGGTGTCTGCGATGGGGTTTAGTGCCTTCAAACTCCTTCACTAGAGGACGGACCGTACGTGTTTGTCTGAGTCTGTGCTGGGATCACTGGTGTCGGGCTTGTATGCTAGGGCTACGCAGGCAACGGAAAGTCCAAAGAAATGTTTTAGGCAGTAGTATTAAAACTAGTCTGGGTAATAACGCCGTAAAATGTACCGTACTGCTGTAAATCAGCAGTACGGTACACATGCTCTACATCAGTGAACAGCAAGAGCCTTTGAATTCACCAAGTTTCAATGAAATCCTCTCGGGACTTTACAAAGTTTCAGGAGATCAGAAGCAAACCCTTTAAACTCAGGAAATAACGTGGTCCAGAGAGAGCGGGAGGATCACGGTCTATACAGCTGAGGCTGTGGACCCAGGACTGAGGCTGTAGACCCAGGACTGAGGCTGTAGACCCAGGACTGAGGCTGTAGACCCAGGACTGAGGCTGTAGACCCAGGACTGAGGCTGTAGACCCAGGACTGAGGCTGTGGACCCAGGACTGAGGCTGTAGACCCAGGACTGAGGCTGTAGACCCAGGACTGAGGCTGTAGACCCAGGACTGAGGCTGTAGACCCAGGACTGAGGCTGTAGACCCAGGACTGAGGCTGTAGACCCAGGACTGAGGCTGTGGACCCAGGACTGAGGCTGTAGACCCAGGACTGAGGCTGTAGACCCAGGACTGAGGCTGTAGACCCAGGACTGAGGCTGTAGACCCAGGACTGAGGCTGTAGACCCAGGACTGAGGCTGTAGACCCAGGACTGAGGCTGTAGACCCAGGACTGAGGCTGTAGACCCAGGACTGAGGCTGTAGACCCAGGACTGAGGCTGTAGACCCAGGACTGAGGCTGTAGACCCAGGACTGAGGCTGTAGACCCAGGACTGAGGCTGTAGACCCAGGACTGAGGCTGTAGACCCAGGCCTGAGGCTGTAGACCCAGGACTGAGGCTGTAGATCCAGGACTGAGGCTGTAGACCCAGGACTGAGGCTGTAGACCCAGGACTGAGGCTGTAGACCCAGGACTGAGGCTGTAGACCCAGGACTGAGGCTGTAGACCCAGGACTGAGGCTGTAGACCCAGGACTGAGGCTGTAGACCCAGGACTGAGGCTGTAGACCCAGGACTGAGGCACACTTTCCTGTCCTATATAATAAACTTCTGCCGTTTACACTATTTTATGAAATCTAATCTTTACAGGACTTTAGGAAGAGCTTAAATAATTCTCCAGAATCAGCTTGAAATGTATGAGACGACTTCTAAAAGAGACCAAAGCTCGTCTCCGGATCCAGAATGAATCCCTGACCACTTACTTTCTACAAACACAGCCACAAACCTGTTTTTAAAAAGTACATAAAGTCATTGTGCCGACTCCCCGAGGGCCGCGAAGCGATGAGGCCGGACTCTTCAAACTAGTTTTCAGTCTGGGGCTCTGAGACCGGTTAGCAAACACTGTTAAGTACAACCAATGCCATTTCAGCTTCGGAGCGCCGCACTGCAGGACGCCACGGCAACAACCGCAGAGGAAGCAACACAATCTGCAGCGGGAACAACACAAACGCACCTTTAATTTCTCTCGTTAGTGCATCAAGAAGACCGCCGTGTTCCCCGTGAGCTCTGGGATCATTTACAGCGATTCAAAACACGCCGTGGCTCCCATTTTAGACCCAAAAGAACATTAGAATATATCATAAAAGTGTCTGTGTCTGTGATAACCGTTCACACACACACACCAGACTCATTCTAATGTGGGGGAAGTGTCTTGCCCAAGGACACAGGCACAGTTTGGCACTTTACAGCCGCCCCACTGTGGCACCTGCTGTTCCCAGAGGTCTCCCATCACAGCACTAACCAGGTCCTGTCCTGCTTAGCTTTTTTCTCTTTTTTTTGTCTCGGATGGCACTGTCCCCATCAACAGATAAGAAAATAAAACATATGGTTGTGTGTATATTCTTGAAACAGCTAGTTACTCTGGTTAGAAAAAAGGTCTATATAAATATTTTTCATAGTGTTAGAGTCACTCGTTGAGATGAATGTGAGTATGGTCAGAAAGGCAAGTTTATCTGTATAGCACAATTCCTACACAACACATTCAAATCATAAGTAATCACAATACATTAAAAATAAAGGTAAAAATGTAAAATATAAAAAAAAAAAAAAACGAATTCATTTGAAACCCACCCTTGCGGACTGTCAACCCCCTCCGCTTACACCGCTACGCTAACACTAGCCGCTTCCCCGAGTGCCGCACTGCAGGTCAGAACAGCCTTCCGAGGCAAAGTGGAAGTGGCTAACCAGAATGAATGGCTCCGCGGCCGCTACACACCGCAGTGACACCGTCTTAGCCCCTTCCCGGAGACAGATGCCGCCTCGCAAACTGTTATATTACCTCGGATGCTTTTCCCGCCGAGCCGCAAATGGGGAATGATGCATAAGTGCGGAGGATTTAGTGTCACCGGCGCCGAGGCTGTCATCACAGAGAGGTGCGCGGCGGTGATATACTCGCGCAGCCGGACGCGGGCTAGCTCTTCTCGCGCGGGTCTTTATTATAACTCCGCATTAACCCGAATTCTTGCAGCGGCGTGGATTAGAGCGAAAGGGTGTTCCCGCCAGTCACACCTGCCTATTGCACTTACCAGTCACGGTAACGGCTCTCCCGGGCACGCCAGACGTCAGGGCCCGCGCTCGCCGACTGACTTACACCAGCAATAGCAGCTATTTTGCATTTTTATACTGTTATGTGCAGCGAGATACACGGTGCTTCTACTGTAGCCACTTGTTACTGCGTTTCCACGAGTCGACAAATGTTGGAGATCTGGAGAGACCGAGTTTGGATGGAGGCTGGCTTTGGAAGAAACTTCACACATTCAGACCTGCTTCAGCCCTGTTTTAGTCCTGCTTTAGTCCTGCATTAGCCCTGTTTTAGTCCTGCTTTAGTCCTGCATTAGCCCTGTTTTAGTCCTGCTTTAGTCCTACATTAGCCCTGTTTTAGTCCTGCTTTAGTCCTGCTTTAGTCCTGCTTTAGTCCTGCATTAGCCCTGTTTTAGTCCTGCTTTAGTCCTGCTTTAGTCCTGCATTAGCCCTGTTTTAGTCCTGCTTTAGTCCTGCTTTAGTCCTACATTAGCCCTGTTTTAGTCCTGCTTTAGTCCTGCTTTAGTCCTGCTTTAGTCCTGCATTAGCCCTGTTTTAGTCCTGCTTTAGTCCTGCTTTAGTCCTACATTAGCCCTGTTTTAGTCCTGCTTTAGTCCTGCTTTAGTCCTACATTAGCCCTGTTTTAGTCCTGCTTTAGTCCTGCTTTAGTCCTGCATTAGCCCTGTTTTAGACCTGTTTTAGTCCTGCATTAGCCCTGTTTTAGACCTGTTTTAGTCATGCTTTAGTCCTGTTTTAGACATGCTTTAGTCCTGCTTTAGACATGCTTTAGTCCTGCATTAGTCCTGCATTAGTCCTGCTTTAGACATGCTTTAGTCCTGCTTTAGTCCTGCATTAGTCCTGCATTAGTCCTGCTTTAGACCTGTTTTAGTCCTGCTTTAGTCCTGCTTTAGTCCTGTTTTAGACATGCTTTAGTCCTGCTTTAGCCTCTACTTCAGTCGCTGCTTTAGTCTCTGTTCAGTCCTGCTTTAGCCCGGTTTTAGTCCTGTTTTAGACCCGCTTCAGACCTGCATCAGTCCTGCTTCAGACCTGTTTCAGACCTGCTTTAGCTCAGTTTTAAACCTGCTTTAGTGATGCTTTTCCGGAGCACCTGGAGGAAACCTACGCAGACACAGGGAGAACATGCAAACCCCACACAGACAGATCTAGACGTGGAACACATCATGGACTTTTCAAATCTAAAAAAACCTCATTCCTACAAACCCACAAAGCCGCTCTTTCTCCAACACTTCTCTTTCTCCAACACTTCTCTTTCTCCAACACTTCTTTCTCCAACACTTCTCTTTCTCCAACACTTCTCTTTCTCCAACACTTCTCTTTCTCCAACACTTCTTTCTCCAACACTTCTTTCTCCAACACTTCTCTTTCTCCAACACTTGTCTTTCTCCAACACTTCTCTTTCTCCAACACTTCTCTTTCTCCAACACTTCTCTTTCTCCAACACTTGTCTTTCTCCAACACTTCTCTTTCTCCAACACTTCTCTTTCTCCAACACTTCTCTTTCTCCAACACTTCTCTTTCTCCAACTCTTCTCTTTCTCCAACACTTCTTTCTTCCAACACTTCTCTTTCTCCAACACTTCTCTTTCTCCAACACTTCTCTTTCTCCAACACTTCTCTTTCTCCAACACTTCTCTTTCTTCAATACTTCTCTTTCTCCAACACTTCTCTTTCTCCAACACTTCTCTTTCTCCAACTCTTCTCTTTCTCCAACACTTCTCTTTCTCCAACACTTCTCTTTCTCCAACACTTCTCTTTCTCCAACACTTCTTTCTCCAACACTTCTTTCTCCAACACTTCTTTCTCCAACACTTCTCTTTCTCCAACACTTCTCTTTCTCTAACTCTTCTCTTTCTCCAACACTTCTCTTTCTCCAACACTTCTCTTTCTCTAACTCTTCTCTTTCTCCAACACTTCTCTTTCTCCAACACTTCTCTTTCTCCAACACTTCTCTTTCTCCAACACTTCTTTCTCCAACACTTCTTTCTCCAACACTTCTTTCTCCAACACTTCTCTTTCTCCAACACTTCTCTTTCTCTAACTCTTCTCTTTCTCCAATACTTCTCTTTCTCCAACACTTCTCTTTCTCCAACACTTCTCTTTCTCTAACTCTTCTCTTTCTCCAACACTTCTCTTTCTCCAACACTTCTCTTTCTCCAACACTTCTCTTTCTCCAACACTTCTCTTTCTCCAACACTTCTTTCTCCAACACTTCTTTCTCCAACACTTCTCTTTCTCCAACACTTGTCTTTCTCCAACACTTCTCTTTCTCCAACACTTCTCTTTCTCCAACACTTCTCTTTCTCCAACACTTCTCTTTCTCCAACACTTCTCTTTCTCCAACTCTTCTCTTTCTCCAACACTTCTTTCTCCAACACTTCTCTTTCTCCAACACTTCTCTTTCTCCAACACTTCTCTTTCTCCAACACTTCTCTTTCTCCAACACTTCTCTTTCTTCAATACTTCTCTTTCTCCAACACTTCTCTTTCTCCAACACTTCTCTTTCTCCAACTCTTCTCTTTCTCCAACACTTCTCTTTCTCCAACACTTCTCTTTCTCCAACACTTCTCTTTCTCCAACACTTCTTTCTCCAACACTTCTTTCTCCAACACTTCTTTCTCCAACACTTCTCTTTCTCCAACACTTCTCTTTCTCTAACACTTCTCTTTCTCCAACACTTCTCTTTCTCCAACACTTCTCTTTCTCTAACTCTTCTCTTTCTCCAACACTTCTCTTTCTCCAACACTTCTCTTTCTCCAACACTTCTCTTTCTCCAACACTTCTCTTTCTCTAACACTTCTCTTTCTCTAACTCTTCTCTTTCTCCAACACTTCTTTCTCCAACACTTCTCTTTCTCCAACACTTCTCTTTCTCCAACACTTCTCTTTCTCCAACACTTCTCTTTCTCCAACACTTCTCTTTCTCCAACTCTTCTCTTTCTCCAACACTTCTTTCTCCAACACTTCTCTTTCTCCAACACTTCTCTTTCTCCAACACTTCTCTTTCTCCAACACTTCTCTTTCTCCAACTCTTCTCTTTCTCCAACACTTCTTTCTCCAACACTTCTCTTTCTCCAACACTTCTCTTTCTCCAACACTTCTCTTTCTCCAACACTTCTCTTTCTCCAACACTTCTCTTTCTTCAATACTTCTCTTTCTCCAACACTTCTCTTTCTCCAACACTTCTCTTTCTCCAACTCTTCTCTTTCTCCAACACTTCTCTTTCTCCAACACTTCTCTTTCTCCAACACTTCTCTTTCTCCAACACTTCTTTCTCCAACACTTCTTTCTCCAACACTTCTCTTTCTCCAACACTTCTCTTTCTCTAACTCTTCTCTTTCTCCAACACTTCTCTTTCTCCAACACTTCTCTTTCTCTAACTCTTCTCTTTCTCCAACACTTCTCTTTCTCCAACACTTCTCTTTCTCCAACACTTCTCTTTCTCTAACACTTCTCTTTCTCCAACACTTCTCTTTCTCCAACACTTCTCTTTCTCCAACACTTCTCTTTCTCCAACTCTTCTCTTTCTCCAACACTTCTTTCTCCAACACTTCTCTTTCTCCAACACTTCTCTTTCTTCAACACTTCTCTTTCTCCAACACTTCTCTTTCTCCAACTCTTCTCTTTCTCCAACACTTCTTTCTCCAACACTTCTCTTTCTCCAACACTTCTTTCTCCAACACTTCTCTTTCTCCAACACTTCTCTTTCTCCAACACTTCTCTTTCTCCAACACTTCTCTTTCTCCAGCACTTCTTTCTCCAACACTTCTCTTTCTCCAACACTTCTCTTTCTCCAACACTTCTCTTTCTTCAATACTTCTCTTTCTCCAACACTTCTCTTTATCCAACACTTCTCTTTCTCCAACACTTCTCTTTCTCCAACACTTCTCTTTCTCCAACACTTCTCTTTCCCGCCTTTTCCGACCTCTGCATTTTCACGGAAATAGCTTCATAATTTACACACACCGCCGGTAATTACTCCGCCCTCTCCTCACCGCGGCCGGTGTCGGGAGGTGACTCGATTCAAATTGGATAAAAACAACCGTCTCCCGAGCAAAAAAAAAAAAAAACGCTTGATGGGATCTGGTGAAGACGGCGTTTAAAGGCTTTCCACTCCATTCCCGCCGCTCGCCAACGAGATCCAAACACGAGATAATGGCCTAACCCATTAATCGCCCGTCGACGCCCGGCGCTAATCTCACACATTTCTGTACCGCCATTGATTTCGTTTGACCATCGCGGGCCGAGGTTGCGACCAAAATTAGATGCAGCGCGGCTAATTATCTGACAGTCTGAAGCTAATTATCGCGGCTGTGGGGAAATGAGAGAGAGACCGGGAGGAGCGGAGAGGAGAGGGCACCGGGATGTACCGAGGTATGGATCAGACGAGCGCGAGGAGGTGAGAGCAGGTGTTGTTACGGTCCCGGAGTTTATGATGCAGAGTTTTGTACTGGAAGAAATGCTTTTGGAAAGTCAGAGACAGGATAGAAGTGGGTGGTGGATGAAAGACTGTCTAATCTCTCTTTCTGGTCTCTCTATCTCTCTGGTCTCTCTCTCTCTGGTGTCTCTGTCCTCTCTCTCTGGTCTCTCTCTCTGGTCTCTCCCTGGTGTCTCTTTCTCTGCCCTCTGTTTTAGTCTCTCCCTCTCCCTGGTGTCTCTCTCTCTGCCCTCTGTTTTAGTCTCTCCCTCTCCCTGGTGTCTCTCTCTCTGCCCTCTGTTTTAGTCTCTCTCCCTGGTGTCTCTCTCTCTGCCCTCTGTTTTAGTCTCTCTCTCTCCCTGGTGTCTCTTTCTCTGCCCTCTGTTTTAGTCTCTCTCTCTCCCTGGTGTCTCTCTCTGCCCTCTGTTTTAGTCTCTCCCTCTCCCTGGTGTCTCTCTCTCTGCCCTCTGTTTTAGTCTCTCTCCCTGGTGTCGCTCTCTCAGCCCTCTGTTTTAGTCTCTCTCTCTCCCTGGTGTCTCTTTCTCTGCACTCTGTTTTAGTCTCTCTCTCTCCATGGTGTCTCTCTCTCTGCCCTCTGTTTTAGTCTCTCCCTCTCCCTGGTGTCTCTCTCTCTGCCCTCTGTTTTAGTCTCTCCCTGGTGGTCTCTCTCTCTGCCCTCTGTTTTAGTCTCTCTCTCTCCCTGGTGTCTCTTTCTCTGCACTCTGTTTTAGTCTCTCCCTCTCCCTGGGTCTCTCTCTCTCTGCCCTCTGTTTTAGTCTCTCTCTCTCCCTGGTGTCTCTTTCTCTGCACTCTGTTTTAGTCTCTCCCTCTCCCTGGTGTCTCTCTCTCTGCCCTCTGTTTTAGTCTCTCTCTCTCCCTGGTGTCTCTTTCTCTGCACTCTGTTTTAGTCTCTCCCTCTCCCTGGTGTCTCTCTCTCTCTGCCCTCTGTTTTAGTCTCTCTCTCTCCCTGGTGTCGCTCTCTCTGCCCTCTGTTTTAGTCTCTCTCTCTCCCTGGTGTCTCTCTCTCTGCCCTCTGTTTTAGTCTCTCTCTCTCCCTGGTGTCTCTCTCTCTGCCCTCTGTTTTAGTCTCTCTCTCTCCCTGGTGTCGCTCTCTCTGCCCTCTGTTTTAGTCTCTCTCTCTCCCTGGTGTCTCTCTCTCTCTGCCCTCTGTTTTAGTCTCTCCCTCTCCCTGGTGTCTCTCTCTCTGCCCTCTGTTTTAGTCTCTCTCCCTGGTGTCTCTCTCTCTGCCCTCTGTTTTAGTCTCTCTCTCTCCCTGGTGTCTCTCTCTCTGCCCTCTGTTTTAGTCTCTCTCTCTCCCTGGTGTCTCTCTCTCTGCCCGCTGTTTTAGTCTCTCTCTCTCCCTGGTGTCGCTCTCTCTGCCCTCTGTTTTAGTCTCTCTCTCTCCCTGGTGTCTCTCTCTCTGCCCTCTGTTTTAGTCTCTCTCTCTCCCTGGTGTCGCTCTCTCTGCCCTCTGTTTTAGTCTCTCTCTCTCCCTGGTGTCTCTTTCTCTGCACTCTGTTTTAGTCTCTCTCTCTCCCTGGTGTCTCTCTCTCTGCCCTCTGTTTTAGTCTCTCTCTCTCCCTGGTGTCTCTCTCTCTGCCCTCTGTTTTAGTCTCTCTCCCTGGTGTCTCTCTCTCTGCCCGCTGTTTTAGTCTCTCTCTCTCCCTGGTGTCTCTTTCTCTGCACTCTGTTTTAGTCTCTCTCTCTCCCTGGTGTCTCTCTCTCTCTGCCCTCTGTTTTAGTCTCTCCCTCTCCCTGGTGTCTCTCTCTCTGCCCTCTGTTTTAGTCTCTCTCCCTGGTGTCTCTCTCTCTGCCCTCTGTTTTAGTCTCTCTCTCTCCCTGGTGTCTCTCTCTCTGCCCTCTGTTTTAGTCTCTCTCTCTCCCTGGTGTCTCTCTCTCTCCCCCTGTTTTAGTCTCTCTCTCTCCCTGGTGTCGCTCTCTCTGCCCTCTGTTTTAGTCTCTCTCTCTCCCTGGTGTCTCTCTCTCTGCCCTCTGTTTTAGTCTCTCTCTCTCCCTGGTGTCGCTCTCTCTGCCCTCTGTTTTAGTCTCTCTCTCTCCCTGGTGTCTCTTTCTCTGCACTCTGTTTTAGTCTCTCTCTCTCCCTGGTGTCTCTCTCTCTGCCCTCTGTTTTAGTCTCTCTCTCTCCCTGGTGTCTCTCTCTCTGCCCTCTGTTTTAGTCTCTCTCCCTGGTGTCTCTCTCTCTGCCCGCTGTTTTAGTCTCTCTCTCTCCCTGGTGTCTCTTTCTCTGCACTCTGTTTTAGTCTCTCTCTCTCCCTGGTGTCTCTCTCTCTCTGCCCTCTGTTTTAGTCTCTCCCTCTCCCTGGTGTCTCTCTCTCTGCCCTCTGTTTTAGTCTCTCTCCCTGGTGTCTCTCTCTCTGCCCTCTGTTTTAGTCTCTCTCTCTCCCTGGTGTCTCTCTCTCTGCCCTCTGTTTTAGTCTCTCTCTCTCCCTGGTGTCTCTCTCTCTCTCTCCCCCTGTTTTAGTCTCTCTCTCTCCCTGGTGTCTCTCTCTCTGCCCTCTGTTTTAGTCTCTCTCTCTCCCTGGTGTCTCTCTCTCTGCCCTCTGTTTTAGTCTCTCTCTCTCCCTGGTGTCGCTCTCTCTGCCCTCTGTTTTAGTCTCTCTCTCTCCCTGGTGTCTCTTTCTCTGCACTCTGTTTTAGTCTGTCTCTCTCCCTGGTGTCTCTCTCTCTGCCCTCTGTTTTAGTCTCTCTCTCTCCCTGGTGTCTCTCTCTCTGCCCTCTGTTTTAGTCTCTCTCCCTGGTGTCTCTCTCTCTGCCCGCTGTTTTAGTCTCTCTCTCTCCCTGGTGTCTCTTTCTCTGCACTCTGTTTTAGTCTCTCTCTCTCCCTGGTGTCTCTCTCTCTACCCTCTGGTTTAGTCTCTTTCTCTCTCCCTGGTCTCTTTCTCCTTGCCCTCTGGTTTGGTCTTTCTCTCTGTTCTCTCACTTTTCGGCAACAGGAGAGAGCGGCGGCAGCAAGAGAGAGAGGAGACAGCAAGAGAGAGCGGAGACAGCATGAGAGAGACGCCGCTAACACCAAAGGAAAAACAAAGCGTTTCTCTCACATCAGAACATGACAATAGTCCAGGACCAAACAGAGAATCCGTCTGGTTTGAGATAGATCGGGACCAGATTTCTCAGACGCACGAGATTATTACTCAATGAAATGAGACGGAAACTCATTTTTAAAAATTGCTTAACACGAGGACTGCCGCACCCGTCATTTAGACTGCTCCGGTTCAAACCAATGGAACTTAACTGGTGAATAAATGTAACTTAAATACAGCTGAAACATTAGGTTGAAAGGCTGATGCTGGTAAACAGTGTGTTGCTACGGTAACAAGTCATCTCTCTGGTTACTCTTTCTGGTCTCTCTCAAGCCCCCCTCTCGAGTCTCTGTCTCTGGTCTCTCCTTCTCTCTAGTCCCTCCCTCTGGTCTTTCTTCTGGTCTCCCTCTCTCTGGTCTCTCTGTTCTCTCTCTCTTTAGTCTCTCTCTCTGGTCTCTACTCTCTGGTCTCTTTCACTGGTCTTTCTTCTGGTCTCCCTCTCTCTAGTCTATCTAGTCTCTCTCTGGTCTCTTTCTCTAGTCTCCCTCTCTCTGGTCTCTCTCTGGTCTCTCTCCCTGGTCTCTCTCTCAGGTCTCTTTCTCTATGGTCTCTCTCTATCTAGTCTCTCTCTGGTCTCTTTCTCTAGTCTCCCTCTCTATGGTCTCTCTATGGTCTCTCTCTATGGTCTCTCTATGGTCTCTCTCTGGTCTCTCTATGGTCTCTCTCTCTGGTCTCTCTATGGTCTCTCTCTATGGTCTCTCTCTCTGGTCTCTCTATGGTCTCTCTCTCTGGTCTCTCTATGGTCTCTCTCTCTGGTCTCTCTATGGTCTCTCTATGGTCTCTCTCTCTGGTCTCTCTCTCTCTGGTCTCTCTCTCTCTGGTCTTGCTCTCTAAACTCTGAGTCTTTATCTGATATCTGATTATCGATGGAACCGAACCAGAACCAGTCCAGGACCATATTCAAAAGAATGTGTGGAAGAACCCACATTTAAAATTAAATTAAATGATAATATACAGAAAAAACGTTTACAAGAATCTTTCAGCTTCTGTTTCTTGCCGTTGTTTACATAATGTGCGTTTGAAAACTCGTCTCGTCAAACTCAGATGGTTCCCGTGTTACGTTTAATTATGTCCTCTGCCTCCGCCGGCGTGCGCTGGGATCAAGTGCTCATGTTTTGGCGTTGTTCGGCAGGACGGCGGGCTGTCAGGAGCGTGCACGTGTCGGACAAGCGCAGGTCAAAGGGCGGCCGCGCTAATTACCCATGAGGCCTCACTGCTGCATCAGGACGAGCCACACGTCAACCACTCAAAGGCAGAAGCCGTAACTCTGCTCTCTCTCTCTGGTCTCACTCTGGTCTCTCTCTGCTCATTCACTCTGGTCTCACTCTGGTCTCTCTCTGGTCTCTCTTTCTAGTTGCTGCTCACTCTTTCTGGTCTCTCTCCTCTCTGTCTCTCCTTACTCTCTCTCTGGTCTCTCTCTCTGCTCACTCACTCTGCTCACTCACTCTGGTCTCTCTCTGGTCTCTCTCTGGTCTCTCTCTGGTCTCACTCTGGTCTCACTCTGGTCTCTCTTTCTAGTTGCTGCTCACTCTTTCTGGTCTCTCTCCTCTCTGTCTCTCACTCTGGTCTCTACCTGCTCTCTCTCTGGTCTCTCTCTCTGCTCACTTACTCTGCTCACTCACTCTGGTCTCACTCTGGTCTCTCTTTCTGCTCTCTGATCACTGTCACTAGTTTCTCTCTCTGGTCTCTGTGCTCTCTCTAATCTCTCTCTGGTCTCTCTTTGGTCTCTCTCTGCTCTCTCTTTCTGCTCTTTCTAATCTCTCTCTAGTCTCTCACTGGTCTCGTTCTGGTCTCACACTGCTCTCTCTCTGCTCACTCTGGTCTCACACTGCTCTCTCTCTGCTCACTCTGGTTTCACACTGCTCTCTCTCTGCTCACTCTGGTCTCACACTGCTCTCTCTCTGCTCACTCTGGTCTCACACTGCTCTCTCTCTGCTCACTCTGGTCCTCACACTGCTCTCTCTCTGCTCACTCTGGTCTCACACTGCTCTCTCTCTGCTCACTCTGGTCTCACACTGCTCTCTCTCTGCTCACTCTGGTCTCACACTGCTCTCTCTCTGCTCACTCTGGTCTCACACTGCTCTCTCTCTGCTCACTCTGGTCTCACACTGCTCTCTCTCTGCTCACTCTGGTCTCACACTGCTCTCTCTCTGCTCACTCTGGTCTCACACTGCTCTCTCTCTGCTCACTCTGGTCTCACACTGCTCTCTCTCTGCTCACTCTGGTCTCACACTGCTCTCTCTCTGCTCACTCTGGTCTCACACTGCTCTCCATGCCCCTCAGGTTGCATTAGCGAGCATCGATCCACCATTACACATGACTTAAGATCTACTACTACTAATACTACTAATACTTCTACTTCTACTACTACTACCCAGTTTTTTCACATTTCTTCTTTCATGTTTATACATTTTTAATTTATTTTTCCAAACATTACACTCGCTCAATACAGGCCTGACCTCACGGCTACCACCGCACTCACCGCATCCGTCACCGATCTGGCAACACACCGGCGCCTTCTGCCTTTCGGTAAACAATGTCCATTCTCCATGTGTCCGTGTGTGTGTCCGTGTGTGTGTCCGTGTGTGTGTGTGTGTGTGTGTGTGTGTCTGTATACGTGTGTGTGTGTGGACCCGCTAGCACATCGTTTGTTTTGCTAATGGCTTGTTTTTTCGCTGCTTTCTCCACAGGGAACGGTATCTAATGAGGGAGCCCCCATACCCACCCCCCCCCCCCTCACCCCCATCAGGCCCGGAAAGAGTGGCTTTAGCTCCCCTGAACCGGCTCCAGCCACGATGGATGGACCACAATAAACGCAGGATTACAGCGCATGGACTGGGGCCGGAGCTGCGAGTGCGTTAGAGGGTTTTAAATATTGATAGGTGCGAGTCAGGAGGCGTGTGCAGCAGCGGGAGCAAAGTGCATACAACAGCTGTCTGCGGTATTCTGCTCAAAAAGACTGGAATTCTTATGTTTTCAATAATACACTGCAAAAAATGATACAATATGAGGTAATGTTTGCTTGAAATGACTGTTTTTTTAATTATTGTTAACACATTGCCTGCCAGCCGTTATCGGTGATTGCACTGACTTTCATGACTCACAGAATAATGTGGGTTATGACCATGTGAAATATGAAACCAGATTCTGAAAGACTGGACTGTCTACTTTCATCAGCAAAAATACGTTTGTTTCTAGCTGCTTTTGTTCTCCTCTAATCCGCAGTCGAATACAGGGAAGTTTGACAGAAATCACCGGTCTCAGGCAGTCACTGTGTTAACCATAACCCACTAATGTCTACTGCTGTTGTGTCCTTGGGCAAGACACTTAACCCCACGTTGCCTGAAGCCCCCACTGAAAGACCAAGGTTGTTTCACCACTGACGGAGCAGCCTTCTTCCTGTGGACCCACCCCCTGTAGAGGATCAGAGGGACTGGTGCTCCCCCGACCCAGAAATGGACCAATAAAGGGGTTGAAAATGAATGAATGAATGTTGCACACTATGGTGGCACGGTGGCTGAGTGGTTAGCTCTCTCGCTTCTCAGCAAGAAGGTCCTGGGTTCGAATCCCGGTCGGAACAGGGCCTTTCTGAGTGGAGTTTGCATGTTCTCCCTGTGTCTGTGTAGGTTTCCTCCAGGTGCTCCGGTTTCCCCTACCACTAAAAACATGCACAATAGGTCTGAATGTAAATGAGAGAGTGAATGGATGGTGTTGGGTCAGAGGCTTTGATGGACCAGTGTGTTCTGGACTCGCTTCTGTCATCACCGTGTGTGGAAGGATTGGAACAATATCTGACTCTGAACATTGGAAAGTGCTTTGGGTCTGTACCTTTGGGTCTGTACCTTTGGGTCTGTACCTTTGGGTCTGTACCTTTGGGTCTGTACCTTTGGGTCTGTACCTTTGGGTCTGTACCTTGGTCTGTGAAAGGCGCTATATAAATAAAAATTACTTACTTCTGACTTGTCCAGTGTGAGATCCATAAAGTCTATAATATCTTATCTTTTGCCTTGATCTGAGTTAATTCTGACTGAAAACTGGATAAAACCATTTAGTCTCTTTTCTGTTTCTGTTGTCTGTATTTTCTCTTTCCAAAGGAGTCATTTTAACTCTTTAACATTCTTGAAGAAAGCAACGTATTTTCTAAGATGTAGCAACACTAATAACACAAACTATTATTATTATTATTATGTTTTTAATCCCATTTTTCTTTTATTTTATAGGCCTTCACCGAATGGTTGAGATGAGTTTGATAAAGTAGATATATTGACTCAAAAGGTGATTTACCAAATAATTTGAAGAAACTATTAAAAGGTTAAAACAAGATAATTATGCATCAATAATCTACTTTAAACATGCTTGAAACTGAGTTCTAACGCTTTGAGGCATCTCTCTTGGTTCTAGGCCCTGTTTATCATCAAACTGCATCTAAACCATTCGGTAAAAGCTTTAAATGAAACAAAAATAGCGGTTAAAGAACAAAACAAACCCCAAAAATGACATTATTTGTGTCGTGCTCCAAAATATGTTTATTATGTGTTTTTCTTTCTCTAATTCTGTTTTCACCGAGAGCCAAAGAAATGTCTTAATCTGTGACTTCCTGTTACTTACATGGTCAAAAAAATGATTCTGATTCTACTTCTTAGAAAATCAGGAGAAAGATAAAAATGACATTGTTTTTTTTCAAGGAGTAAATTATAAAAAGTTATTATTTTGCCAAATTTAAGTCATGTTTGATTTATTTTTCTTCACTTTTTGCAGTGTGTGTGTGTGTGTGTGTGTCACCCATGTGTTTGTTATTGATAGTATTTAATATGAATAAAAATGCATTGTTTTTCTGGCGTCTGTTTGGGCTCTCACAGACACTGCCCGTCCCTCCAGCCACAGCTGCCCTGGGGCACACTGACAGAAGCGTGGCGACCGGTCTGTGCCATGGGTCAGAAGTGAGGGCTTTTATCTCGGGACATTAGCATCGTTCTGTGTTGTGTGTTCGCCATAGGTTGCTTCAGTAAGTGTGAGATTAGTTTATTTGTATTGCACGGTTTATTCACAAGGACCTCACACAGAGAGAGAGGAAGAGCTGGAAACATAAAGAATTAGTCTAAAATAACTACTTTTAACTGTTTTTAGTCTGGATTCGACCATTGTCAAAGTAGGTGGATACTTTATTGATCCCTGTCGGAGAAAAGGAGCAATTTTGTTGTTGTTTGTCTTTGGTAAACCTAAAAAATGAGCATGAGTCGCGTAAACTTTGATGATTACAGCCGAAAACAAAGCAAAGCATTTTGTAACTTTAAAATTAAATTAAACCGCCTCTTCGAACAGCTGACGGTTTGTTTGTATCCAAGCAAAGAACCGGAAGTGCTTCTGGGACAAGACTTTCCAGCCCTATTCCCTTAATATAACCTGTGCTACACAATTAAACTAGCCTTGCCTAGTCATGAAAATTAACGTACATCTTCTCCAGATTGGGCTAAACTCATCAAACCTGATAAATCAATCCAAGATCTACATTCCTAAGTTCATTTTGATTTTCAGGCAGTGTAAACAGGGCAAAGCAGGCGTTAAAACATGTATAAGTCTCTGGACTGTTGCACTGGTAACTCTGTGATTGCACCATCGCACTCTAATATTAACAGACACGATGTAAACAAGAGAAGAAGACATGTGTGATGTGTAGCGCCACCGTCTGGACAGAGGCTGCATTACATTTCACTATCTAAAAGTCATTTGGGACGACAGTGGCTCAGTGGGTGGAGCCGGAAGAAGGTTGTGTCTTCGAGATCTACCGCAACATCCTCTCCACCGACTCCCACTGAGGTCTGCTGCCATTGTGTCCTTGGGCAAGGCACTTCACCACACCTTGCCTATTAAGGAGCGCGGAAGTAATCGTACGCTGCATGCCTGAATGTGTAAAGTATATGGGTATGAAGAAGAAGAAGAAGGTCCTTTTAGTCCCACAATGGGGAAATTTCAGTTTGATGCATACACATACATATACACTATACATACATATACACTATACATATACATACATACACATATACTGTACATACACATACACATACACATCAAGGCATGCAGCGAACATCACTTCCGCGCTCCTTTTCGGCAAAGTGGGGTTAAGTGTCTTGCCCAAGGACACAACGACAGCAGACATCAGTGGGAGTTAGGTGGAGAAGGTCTCATGGTGGACTCGAACCCACAACCTTCATCTTAAAACGTGTTGATTCAAACGCCAAGTATGGGACTTCTTTAAAGGGGCGGGGCACTTATTTAAAACCATTTAAAAGTTTGTAAATGTAGCTGGCAAATTGCTCATTCTCACCAATATTTTAGACCTGGGTCCTGGATTCAAATCCCAGTAGGAACAGGGCATTTCTCAGCCGAGTTTTACATGTTCTCCGTCTATGTTGGTTTCCTCCGGGTGCTCCGGTTTCTCCTACCACTAAAAAGGAAAATACCTCTACCCCCCGAGGACTCCAGCTCCTGAGGCCTGACTTTGGAAAGATGGGTCAAATGCATATATGTACAAAATATATCGGCACATTTCTGACCAATACCAATAGGTTAACCTGATATCAATTTAGTAGCCTGTTGAGATCTGAACTTTTTACTTGTATTGGCTAAAAGAATGGAGTAACCCAGCTTTAAGTTTCATTTATTATGGTCATTTAACTAAATTTTTGTGTTAGAAGCCAGGTTTTTTTTTAACAACATATCATTTCAGATCTACTGCCCCATTATTAGCTCTAGCACTTTCCAATTATATATTTGCTTTTGCCCTTAATCCGCTTTGACAATCTGAAGAGAACACTACATCATCCAAGCAAACCACCCAGAGACTGCCCTAAAAATACTCTTTCCTCGAATATATTACACGCATTGAAATATTAATGGACCAAATGTACAGGAAATCCCATGTGAGTTTGGTGTGAAACCATTGCCCGGATCTTCCATGCACATGCGGACGCGCTCTGACAAGCCGGTGCAGCTATAAATGCAGGCAACCTTAAAAAATACATGCTAACGGGTGAGCTCGGGCCACGGGGAAGTCACGCGAGGCGGCACACGCATCGGCTGATCAAAGCTGGACGCCATCTGCATGTCTTCACCGCCTGATTAAACCGCCGCCACATGAAGCTCGGCCTAACGCGGTTTTGAAGCCGTGTTTCTGCATGTACATGACTGCAGGTGAGGCTTCAGACGCAAACACGAATCAAATGGGATTGATTGAAGATTGAGGGGGGGAAAAAGAGGGGAAGGGGAAAGCGGGGGAGGGGTGTGTGGTGAGTTCAGGCTGTGGCGTTTCTGTCAAAGGTACAGAAAGTGTATGGAAAGAGGGAGACGGAGGCGTAGTGGCTGTTCTATGGTAAGATCCAGGATATTCAACAACGTTTATGGACTCGCCAACACAAAATTAATAATAATAATAATGCATCGGTTTCATAAAATGCACTGAATCGAATAAAAGTGTCGTGGTGCTAGGCAGGGGTGTCCTATGTCGCCGCAGAAGTTTGCAACGATCACAAACGAATCACACAAACTCACAGAGAAAAGTATTGGGAAAAAACTAATGAACTGTCTTTTTCGCAATCCAAATACACTTGATTCTATACAGCACTTTTCTTAACCCCTTAAGCTAACAAAATACTTCTGCCGGCAATAGCAGATGTATTTTTTTCATTACCCACAAGCTATATATCATTTTAAAGCTTATTTTCTCATCTACATTTATATATAAGCGTAAACAATATCGGACTTGGCATTACAAAGATATAACACTTAATATGGGCACAAAATAAATCACGTCTGTATACGTGTTTTACCTTTCGTCTTCTGCTGCTTAAACAAATTAGACTTCCTCCATCCTTGCTAAAGCTCTTTCACTCCGTAAATGTACATGGAAAAAGAATATCCACTTGTATTTTCCAAAGTATAATCCATTCAGGAGAAATAATCCAAAAATGGGTTAGCAAATTACAAATCTGACTCTAATCAATCAATAAAACCAGGCATGGAATTCGTCTTTGAAAAGCAAGATAAGACCATTAATAAACTTATCACGCCGTATTTATTGTTGTGAATCTAACAGAACTAATGTAGGGGTTGATATTAAGCCGGTGTTTGGGTCTGGTGCATGATAGTTTGGTCTCATGGAGAGAGTCGGAGCTGAAGGTGCCTCCTCCGGCGAGCAGGCGGTGGTCGGCAGGAGGCAGATCCCATCAGAGCCACACAGGGACCAGACCACTGTAAATCTGCAGCGTCTGTGGGGAACCCTCCATCACCGCTGCCCCCAGGAACCAGCCAACAGACGGACCAAGGTCTACGCTGCTATTAGAGAAAGGGAAAGAAAAAAACATCTGTGATTCTCCCCCACCGGTGCTTGGACCAGATTTTGAACTTATCTGAAAACTATAGAGTAAACACAATATATAATGCCTTAAAAATGGTACGGCTAGATAGGTAGGTATGGTAATGTTTATTTATATAGCGCATTCTACAGACCAAGGTACAGACCCAAAGCACTTTCCAATGTTCAGAGTCAGATATTGTTCCAGTCCTTCCACACACGGTGATGACAGAAGCGAGTCCAGAACACACTGGTCCATCAAAGCCTCTGACCCAACACCATCCATTCACTCTCTCATTTACATTCAGACCTATTGTGCATGTTTTTATTGGAAGGGGAAACCGGAGCACCCGGAGGAAACCTACGCAGACACGGGGAGAACATGCAAACTCCACTCAGAAAGGCCCTGTTCCGACCGCGATTCGAACCCAGGACCTTCTTGCTGAGAGGTGAGAGGGCTAACCACTCAGCCACCGTGCCGCCCAGATATAGTTCAACCTGCTAGAAAGTTGAGAGTTCCTTCAATAGACTGCATACATGTGGACGATGCTAACGTGCTAATGCTAACGTGCTTATGCTAACGTGTTTTGCTCCTATTGACCAATATGTAAAAATAAACTCCTCTAGCTCAGTTTACATTGTGACATTGTCTTTGTAAAATAAGGATTGACCAATCAGAGGCCTTCAATCGTCGAGAAAACTCCAGTTTGCCTTAGCAACCACCCTAGCAACACGTCTGGTCCTGAGAGGTGGGACTTCCGACAAAAAATATCTTGAATATAGATATTTTTTACCATTCAATTGTTCACCCATTCATACAGTAGGGAAGAGGTGGGTTGGGCCAGGGTGAGAGACCAGAGTGAGAAACCAGAGTGAGAGACCAGAGTGAGACCAGAGTGAGAGACCAGAGAGAGACCAGAGTGAGACCAGAGTGAGAGACCAGAGTGAGACCAGAGTGAGAGACCAGAGTGAGAGACCAGAGTGAGACCAGAGTGAGAGACCAGAGTGAGACCAGAGTGAGAGACCAGAGTGAGACCAGAGTGAGACCAGAGTGAGACCAGAGTGAGAGACCAGAGTGAGACCAGAGTGAGAGACCAGAGTGAGACCAGAGTGAGAGACCAGAGTGAGACCAGAGTGAGACCAGAGTGAGAAACCAGAGAGAGATCAGAGTGAGAGACCTGAGTGAGACCAGAGTGAGAGACCAGAGTGAGACCAGAGTGAGAGACCAGAGTGAGAGACCAGAGTGAGACCAGAGTGAGACCAGAGTGAGAGACCAGAGTGAGACCAGAGTGAGAGACCAGAGTGAGACCAGAGTGAGACCAGAGTGAGACCAGAGTGAGACCAGAGTGAGAGACCAGAGTGAGACCAGAGTGAGAGACCAGAGAGAGATCAAAGAGAGACCAGAGTGAGACCAGAGTGATGGGGACTGTGGCGTGATGGCGGCCATGGCGTGATGGGGGCTGTGGCGTGATGGGGGCTGTGGCGTGATGGGGGCTGTGGCGTGATGGCGGCCATGGCGTGATGGGGGCTGTGGCGTGATGGGGGCTGTGGCGTGATGGGGGCTGTGGCGTGATGGGGGCTGTGGCGTGATGGCGGCCATGGCGTGATGGGGGCTGTGGCGTGATGGGGGCTGTGGCGTGATGGGGGCTGTGGCGTGATGGGGGCTGTGGCGTGATGGCGGCCATGGCGTGATGGGGGCTGTGGCGTGATGGGGGCTGTGGCGTGATGGGGGCTGTGGCGTGATGGCGGCCGTGGCGAGCAGATTAGGGTGACATCATATTAAATGTTTGTAGACCTGGAAACCATCTGGAGGAGCCCGAAACAGGTGTTCGAACCGAGACACGCTCGGGCCAATCGGGAAGCACATCAATACTGAGAGGAGCCAGGGGAGGGGAGGGAGGGGGAGGAGGGATTAGGGGGGAGGGAGGGGGGGGGGGGAATATTCGCTTATATGGCTGTTCGGTTAAACGCAATCAATTTGAAATTACTTTTTTATAAAATCTTAATGAGTTTAAGATTTGTGAATGGAACAAGCAAGAGCATCTTCTGGTCATGGTTTCATTATTTTCTCTCTCGGGTCTCTCTCTGGTCTGTCTCTGGTCTCTCTCGGGTCTCTCTCTGGTCTCTCTCGGGTCTCTCTCGGGTCTCTCTCTGGTCTCTCTCTGGTCTCTCTCGGGTCTCTCTCGGGTCTCTCTCGGGTCTCTCTCGGGTCTCTCTCGGGTCTCTCTCGGGTCTCTCTCGGGTCTCTCTCTGGTCTCTCTCTCTGGTCTCTCTCTCTGGTCTCTCTCTAGTCTCTCTCTAGTCTCTCTCTCAGGTCTCCCTCTCTCTCTGGTTTCTCTCTAGTCTCTCTCTCGGGTCTCTCTCTCTGGTCTCTTGCTGGTCTCGGTCTAGTCTCTCTCTCTGATCTCTCTCGGGTCTCTTGCTGGTCTCGGTCTAGTCTCTCTCTCTGGTCTCTCTCGTGTCTCGAGCACCATTGAGAGTTTGTTTGTTAGTTCTGTGACTGTGTGGTTTGGTGACATCAGAGAGACCAGAGAGAGACCATGAGACCAGAAAGAGACCAGAGAGAGACCAAGGAGAGACCAGAAGGAGACCATAGAGAGACCATAGAGAGACCATCTTATCTCATCTTCGGATGTTAGAGCAGTAATAACGGAAATAATTACTTTTTTTTCTCCTTTTTTTACCCCCTAGTTTTGTTGCAGCTTAATGGTACAAAGTGCTAGAGATTCCCCAAAGAGAGAGATTTCAGATCCAGACTCAAAACGTGATCCAGGAAACCATCGAAGGGTTAAAGTCTGTGCGAATGAGCTCAGATTAAGATAAAAACCACTGATTTAAGCAACTCTTATATAAACGTCACTCAAAAGTTAGGTCCCCGAGCTTTAAACGGCCTAAACCCGGCACTTTCTACTTTAATTGTGTGTAAAGTGAAAAGTAAAGTTTAGCGCCTGACACTTGATTAAAGTGTCAGCGGCGTTAGAAGAACAGAAGAAGAATCCTGGAGAGAGGGGGAGGAGGTGAATGATGGGAGGTGATGTGAGTGGAGGCGTGTGGGGGCACCTCCTGCTGGGACTCCCCTCAAACCTGAGCTCAGGCGTCAGAAAAGGAGGCGTCTGCGTTAAACTGTGTCGACCGCGACGAGAGTGGCTCCACAGGGCCTCGAGAGGTGAGAGGGAGGGAAGGGGAGGGGAGGGCGGTTAGAGGGGGGGGAGGGAGGTGAGAGGGAGGGAGGCTCCGTGGGGCCTCGAGAACTCACTGTTATTCAGTTCATACAAGTAAGAGAGGTTTGGACTTTAGGAGCAGGAGGTGAGAGGGAGGAGGGGGACGGGGGGAGGGAGGTGAGAGGGAAGAGTGGGGAGGGTGAGAGGGAGGTGAGAGGGAGGTGAGAGGGAAGGGAGGGAAGGGAGGGGAGGGTGAGAGGGAGGTGAGAGGGAGGTGAGAGGGAAGGGAAGGGAGGGAAGGGAGGGGAGGGTGAGGGAGAGGTGAGAACTTTTAATAACTCAAAAGTCAAAATTTCACTCTCTCTCCCTCTGCTCTCCCTCTGGTCTCTCTCTCTCCCTCTGGTCTCTCTCTCTCCCTCTGCTCTCCCTCTGGTCTCTCTCTCTCCCTCTGGTCTCTCTCTGGTCTCTCTCTCTCCCTCTGGTCTCTCTCTGGTCTCTCTCTCTCCCTCTGGTCTTCCTCTGGTCTCTCTCTGGTCTCTCTCTCTCCCTCTGGTCTCTCTCTGGTCTCTCTCTGGTCTCTCTCTCTCCCTCTGGTCTCCCTCTGGTCTCTCTCTCTCCCTCTGGTCTCCCTCTGGTCTCTCTCTCTCCCTCTGGTCTCCCTCTGGTCTCTCTCTCTCATTGCCTCACCTGAATGCTCTTGGCTAAAACAGACAGTGATTAATGTTGATGATGAGTTTAAGCAGAAACAAGAGAAACCCCCGTCCCAGACCCTTCTCCTCTGACTTTATATATTCATGAGAGAGACGTTTTTGGCCGCTCTCTCTCCAGGTTTAGTCTAATCCCAGTCAGACGTGTGCCGCTCTCAGCTCACATCTGGCCTGGCGTCTGCTCCGTCTCCGGCATTAAGCAATTTTCTGAGAGCCAAAATAAAAGTTTTACGGCCGGGCCCGGTACATGAGGAGAGTTCTGACAGGACAGCACCTTTTCGCCGCGCTGAAACCAGCACTTTTCTACTTTGTGGACTTCCTGCTCGGCTTTCGGGACCCGGGATTTCTGCAAACGAGACGGAAGCTTCAGGGAATGAAACGAAAAGGCCACAAAGGAAAAAAAAAAAGTGGTTTACAGCAGAGAGAGTGAGAATGTATATGATATAAGTCCTGGATCTACAGCCTCAGTCCTGGGTCTACAGCCTCAGTCCTGGGTCTACAGCCTCAGTCCTGGGTCTACAGCCTCAGTCCTGGGTCTACAGCCTCAGTCCTGGGTCTACAGCCTCAGTCCTGGGTCTACAGCCTCAGTCCTGGGTCTACAGCCTCAGTCCTGGGTCTACAGCCTCAGTCCCGGGTCTACAGCCTCAGTCCACAGCTAAAGCTAACCCTCCGCGGACCTTTTACCCTCATCCTCCAATCACGGCCCGTCGTTTGCTTTGCTGTTTTTCAAATCCCGCCGTGCGTTGCCTCCGACCGGAAGTCGTTTTAAATATTCATGACATTTAAAAGTACATCTCCGACCGGCGCCGCGACCTTTTGAACCGCGCCTTTGTAGCGTCCTAATGAAGACAAACTGTTGTTGCGGCCTCTTCCGCAGAAACCATTCATCAGAGCGGTTTGTGCAGTGCAGCAGTTCTGAGCCCATTGTCACCGACCGAGACGCACCCAACACACTTTACATTGTTTTGAATTTATCCGGCAAAAGCCCGTTTTATTGCGCCGCCATTTTGTCTCTCCCCCCCAGCCGTTCGGTCCACACAGGCCATTAATAATGCATCGGACGGTGAAACATATAATTACTCATACACGCACTTTAATAATAATATCTGGAAGAAGAAGAAGAAGAAGAAAAATAAGTTTTAAAACTGCTTTTGAGACACATTTTTGGAGTTTTTGTCAAGTTTTTGTGTTGGTTTCATGAATAAGCGAAAAGCGGAGACAAAGGGAGTGGTCAGAACAATGGGAATCTTTAGCGACTTCTTTTGTTCGGTGATTATTTAAATGAGGCGCGGTGAGGTTTGCGTTCCCGACTCGAGGAGCGAAGGTCACAGCGAGAGGCGGAAAACTGCTGAGGTTTCCAGAAGGTTGGAGATGTGTGATGCTAGCGATGCTATGCTAGCTTCTTTGTTATGCTAAGGCTAGGGGTTTACACCTGAGAGGGCTGGGAGAGAGTAGGGAGGGAGGAGAGGGAGAGTAGAGACAGAGTGGGGCGAGAGTAGAGAGAGAGTAGGGAGAGAGTGGGGAGAGAGTGGGGAGAGAGTAGGGAGAGAGTGGGGAGAGAGTGGGGAGAGAGTGGGGAGAGAGTAGGGAGAGAGTGGGGAAAGAGTGGAGAGAGAGTAGGGAGAGAGTGGGGAGAGAGTGGAGAGAGAGTAGGGAGAGAGTGGGGAGAGAGTGGTGAGAGAGTAGGGAGAGAGTGGGGAGAGAGTAGGGAGAGAGTGGGGCGAGAGTAGAGAGAGAGTAGAGAGAGTGTAGGGAGAGAGTAGGGAGGGAGGAGAGGGAGTAGGGAGAGAGTGGGGAGAGAGTGGGGAGAGAGTAGAGAGAGAGTAGAGAGAGTGTAGGGAGAGAGTAGGGAGAGAGTGGAGAGAGAGTGGAGAGAGAGTAGGGAGAGAGTGGGGAGAGAGTAGGGAGAGAGTAGGGAGAGAGTGGAGAGAGAGTAGGGAGAGAGTGGGGAAAGAGTGGGGAGAGAGTAGGGAGAGAGTGGGGCGAGAGTGGGGAGAGAGTAGAGAGAGTGTAGGGAGAGAGTAGGGAGAGAGTGGAGAGAGAGTGGAGAGAGAGTAGGGAGAGAGTGGGGAGAGAGTAGGGAGAGAGTAGGGAGAGAGTGGAGAGAGAGTAGGGAGAGAGTGGGGAAAGAGTGGGGAGAGAGTAGGGAGAGAGTGGGGCGAGAGTGGGGAGAGAGTAGGGAGAGAGTGGGGAGAGAGTGGAGAGAGAGTAGGGAGAGAGTGGGGAGAGAGTAGGGAGAGAGTGGGGCGAGAGTAGAGAGAGAGTAGAGAGAGTGTAGGGAGAGAGTAGGGAGAGAGTGGAGAGAGAGTGGAGAGAGAGTAGGGAGAGAGTGGAGAGAGAGTAGGGAGAGAGTGGGGAAAGAGTGGAGAGAGAGTAGAGAGAGTAGGGAGAGAGTGGGGCGAGAGTAGAGAGAGAGTAGGGAGAGAGTGGGGAGAGAGTAGGGAGAGAGTGGGGAGAGAGTAGAGAGAGAGTAGGGAGAGAGTGGGGAGAGAGTAGGGAGAGAGTGGGGAGAGAGTGGGGAGAGAGTGGGGAGAGAGTAGAGAGAGAGTAGGGAGAGAGAGTAGAGAGAGTAGGGAGAGAGTGGGGCGAGAGTAGAGAGAGAGTAGAGAAAGTGTAGGGAGAGAGTATAGAGAGCAGAGAGAGAGTGGAGGGAGAGTAGGGAGAGAGTGGGGAGAGAGTGGGGAGAGAGTGGAGAGAGAGTAGAGAAAGTGTAGGGAGAGAGTATAGAGAGCAGAGAGAGAGTGGAGGGAGAGTAGAGAGAGAGTAGGGAGAGAGTGGGGAGAGAGTAGGGAGAGAGTAGAGAGAGAGTAGGGAGAGAGTGGGGAGAGAGTAGGGAGAGAGTGGAGAGAGAGTGGGGAGAGAGTGGGGAGAGAGTAGAGAGAGAGTAGGGAGAGAGTGGGGCGAGAGTAGAGAGAGAGTAGGGAGAGAGTGGGGAGAGAGTGGGGAGAGAGTGGGGAGAGAGTGGGGAGAGAGTGGGGAGAGAGTGGAGAGAGAGTAGAGAAAGTGTAGGGAGAGAGTATAGAGAGCAGAGAGAGAGTGGAGGGAGAGTAGAGTAAACCTACACAGGAACAGAGAGAACATGCAAACTCCACTCAGAAAGACCCTGTTCCGACCGAGATTCGAACCCAGGACTTTCTTGCTGAAAAGCGTGAGTGCTAACCACTCAGCCACCGCCGGGTAGAGAAAGGCCAGAGAGACCAGAGAGAGACCAGAGAGAGACCAGAGAGAGACCAGAGAGAGACCAGAGAGAGACCAGAGAGACCAGAGAGAGACCAGAGAGAGACCAGAGAGAGACCAGAGAGAGACCAGAGAGAGACCAGAGAGACTAGAGAGAGACTAGAGAGAGACCAGAGAGAGGCCAGAGAGAGACCAGAGAGAGACCAGAGAGAGACCAGAGAGAGACCAGAGAGAGACCAGAGAGAGGCCAGAGAGAGAGTGAGACTAGAGAGAGACCAGAGAGAGAGACCAGAGAGAGACCAGAGAGAGAGACCAGAGAGAGAGACCAGAGAGAGAGACCAGAGAGAGGCCAGAGAGAGAGACCAGAGAGAGACCAGAGAGAGAGACCAGAGAGAGAGACCAGAGAGAGAGACCAGAGAGAGAGACCAGAGAGAGACCAGAGAGAGAGACCAGAGAGAGACCAGAGAGAGACCAGAGAGAGACCAGAGAGAGACCAGAGAGAGACCAGAGAGAGACCAGAGAGAGAACAGAGAGAGAGACCAGAGAGAGACCAGAGAGAGAGACCAGAGAGAGAACAGAGAGAGACCAGAGAGAGAGAGACCAGAGAGAGACCAGAGAGAGACCAGAGAGAGACCAGAGAGAGAGACCAGAGAGAGACCAGAGAGAGAGACCAGAGAGAGACCAGAGAGAGACCAGAGAGAGACCAGAGAGAGACCAGAGAGAGAGACCAGAGAGAGACCAGAGAGAGACCAGAGACAGAGACCAGAGAGAGACCAGAGAGAGACCAGAGAGAGAGACCAGAGAGAGACCAGAGAGAGAGACCAGAGAGAGACCAGAGAGAGACCAGAGAGAGAGACCAGAGAGAGACCAGAGAGAGACCAGAGAGAGACCAGAGAGAGACCAGAGAGAGAGACCAGAGAGATACCAGAGACAGAGACCAGAGAGAGACCAAAGAGAGACCAGAGAGAGACCAGGGAGAGACCAGAGAGAGAGAGATCAGAAGGAGGGAGAAACCAGAGAGAGAGAAACCAGAAATAGATCAGAAAGAGAGAGAGAGAGACCACTTAGAAAAGGAGTGTCCTGGATCATCACTCCTACCTCCTCGATCCCCGACACCTGAGAAACCCTGGGGTAAACTCTGAGCGATGATGAACTCACTAAGCTAATGCTACCTAGCTAATGCCACTTAGCTAATGCTACCTAGCTAATGCCACTTAGCTAATGCCACCTAGCTAATGCCGCCTAGCTAATGCCGCCTAGCTATTGCCGAGAAGCTCAAACCTCCAGCTAAATGTCGCCCGGCCAAAGCCGCGTAGCTAAACCACCTAGCTAATGCCGCCTAGCACAAGCCCGCCGCTAAATGCACCACCAATGGCAGTCCGATCCATCATGGCGCTGCTCCCACTTTACACCTGAGAGGGCTGGGAGAGAGTAGGGAGGGAGGAGAGGGAGAGTAGGGAGAGAGTGGGGCGAGAGTAGAGAGAGAGTAGGGAGAGAGTGGGGAGAGAGTAGGGAGAGAGTGGGGAGAGAGTGGAGAGAGAGTGGGGAGAGAGTGGGGAGAGAGTAGGGAGAGAGTGGGGAGAGAGTGGAGAGAGAGTAGGGAGAGAGTGGGGCGAGAGTAGAGAGAGAGTAGAGAGAGTGTAGGGAGAGAGTAGGGAGAGAGTGGAGAGAGAGTGGAGAGAGAGTAGGGAGAGAGTGGGGAGAGAGTAGGGAGAGAGTGGGGCGAGAGTAGAGAGAGAGTAGAGAGAGTGTAGGGAGAGAGTAGGGAGAGAGTGGAGAGAGAGTAGGGAGAGAGTGGGGAAAGAGTGGAGAGAGAGTAGAGAGAGTAGGGAGAGAGTGGGGAGAGAGTAGGGAGAGAGTGGGGAGAGAGTAGAGAGAGAGTAGAGAGAGAGTAGGGAGAGAGAGTAGAGAGAGTAGGGAGAGAGTGGGGCGAGAGTAGAGAGAGTGGAGAGAGAGTGGGGAGAGAGTGGGGAGAGAGTAGAGAGAGAGTAGGGAGAGAGAGTAGAGAGAGTAGGGAGAGAGTGGGGCGAGAGTAGAGAGAGAGTAGAGAGAGAGTAGGGAGAGAGTGGGGAGAGAGTAGGGAGAGAGTGGGGAGAGAGTGGAGAGAGAGTAGAGAGAGAGTAGGGAGAGAGTGGGGAGAGAGTAGGGAGAGAGTAGAGAGAGAGTAGGGAGAGAGTGGGGAGAGAGTAGGGAGAGAGTGGAGAGAGAGTGGGGAGAGAGTGGGGAGAGAGTAGAGAGAGAGTAGGGAGAGAGTGGGGCGAGAGTAGAGAGAGAGTAGGGAGAGAGTGGGGAAAGAGTGGGGAGAGAGTAGGGAGAGAGTGGGGAGAGAGTGGAGAGAGAGTAGAGAAAGTGTAGGGAGAGAGTATAGAGAGCAGAGAGAGAGTGGAGGGAGAGTAGAGTAAACCTACACAGGAACAGAGAGAACATGCAAACTCCACTCAGAAAGACCCTGTTCCGACCGAGATTCGAACCCAGGACTTTCTTGCTGAAAAGCGTGAGTGCTAACCACTCAGCCACCGCCGGGTAGAGAAAGGCCAGAGAGACCAGAGAGAGACCAGAGAGAGACCAGAGAGAGACCAGAGAGAGACCAGAGAGAGACCAGAGAGACCAGAGAGAGACCAGAGAGAGACCAGAGAGAGACCAGAGAGAGACCAGAGAGAGACCAGAGAGACTAGAGAGAGACTAGAGAGAGACCAGAGAGAGGCCAGAGAGAGACCAGAGAGAGACCAGAGAGACCCCAGAAAGAGA